CATAACGCCAGCTTGCTTGGCTAGTATGGCGAGTAAGCAGTAACTACAGTCACCAAACACAAATAAATGTCTCTACAGGAGGCTATCTTGGATATTATATATGTCCGGATATGTCAAATATACACAAAATATGTGTTATGTACAGAGTCATGAATGATATGTCATAGCATCATTAGAATATCAAGTGATCAGAAGGGGGAAATCAAGACTGCAAGATTCAATCGAAGTGCCCTAACTTGCCCAGCTGCTGCAGAACCAAGGCCGTCTGCTCTGCTGAAAACCCGAAAAACACCGGACCATTGAACACCACGCTGTTCTTCGCCGGGTGCGGCGTAGGATTGGCCGCATCGTGCGATTTCTCGCGGTCTCCCTTCACAGGGTCTTCGGTGTGATTTGATTCCTCGGGGTCTCGGGTTGTCTTCGCATCTTGGGTAACTGCTGGGGCCTTGTTTTGGTTGTCACCAGAAGGCGCACCGTGGCCAAAGGGGCAGCGTCCGGCTTTCGGGGGCGCGGCGTGAGGCTCGGGCGACGAATCGCCCATGGGCACGTTGGAAGATATATCGACGGCAGGTGTTCGAGGTGAAGGATGGGCTGTTGAATCAAGGGAGGTGGCAACGGGGGCTGCTGAAGATTGAGGAGCAGATGTGGTAACAGGGAGCGGCGTCACAGGGACAGGGATACCCCAAGGCCTGCTTGGAGATTCTCCCACGCGAACCTCACGCAGAGGACGATCAAAATGCCCCTTTCGCTCCTCGTCTTCTTGCTCAACCTCGCCTTCCTCGCCTTCCTCTTCCTTGATGGGAGGACGCATGTCCGATTTCAGGCCCACCTCTTCGGCCCATTTCTCTACTCGTTCAGCAGACGAGCTTGATGGCGGTGCTCCATTCTGGTTGGTACCGGGGAGGAAGGCTCGATGTTTGACGGACAGGCCTTGGATCATGCTGATCAGATTACCATACTTTGCATCTAAGTGCCGCATGGTCTGCGAGTCCCGTTGATACCGCTGCACGCAGATTGCATGGCTCCTGGGGATTTCATGCTTGTGTCTTTCGACATAGTCGGCAATTTCCTCCGGACTATGCTGGTCTAGATATCTTATGGGACATCGCGAAACGGGACAACGGGTATTCGAAGACCGGGTCGAGGGCGCGCGACTTGAACGTCTATCATTTTGCTCGGCTTTGATCGGGTCAAGTTCGGCATGCCCACACGTATCCTCGTTGTTATCCTGGGAGGCCAGCTCGACTCCGTTGGACCCTCCATTTTCAGAGGGCTTATTGTTAGGCTTCGCAAACGGGCAACGCAAACTCCCCTGTGTGCCCTTGGTAGTGAAGTCTCTTTCTAGGGTGCGAGGAAGCCCCGCTCTCGTGGCAACGAGACATGAGTTAAGGTCAAGCGGCTGCTTAGCATCGTTGGGAGGTATGATAGATAGATAGGATGTCAATCCCTCCCTAATGGAGGCAAGAGCCACATCTCCTACATTGCCGGACTCGGCAAGCGAATTTACTACGTCCGACAGGCTGGCTTGTTGTTTCGGCTGGTACTGGTATTCGGCAAAGCGACCAGCAATCTTCTCGGCGACGATTTTGGTATGACCGTCAGGACCGCCAGGGAATTTGTCTGCTAACTTGGAGTACTGGCGAGGGAAATTAGCATGTGAATTCCCAAGCAGGGTAAATGGACACAGAGTAAAATAAGCAGATAGTGCTGCAAGTCTCATCAGATAATACATGATATATCCGTCACCGCCGCAGATGCGACTCCTGATCTAGAGCTAATCGATTTTTCTCGTCCTTTGAGACAGAAGGGATGCAAGGCAGATGTGGAGAGGGCGGTGGGGGAATTTACCTCGACAGAGGCATATTTCAGCCTTTGCTGCAAGGTCTTCTCCTTGCAGCTGAGTTGTTGGGTGGTCAGTAAAAGAGCTTCAAAGGCTCTGGCCAGAGCTTGCAGCTGGAGATCCAGCTGCGGCTGAGGTTCAATGGGTGCAGGTGACATTTCATGCATCAAGTCTGGAATTACACAGCAGACAGTACATCTGATAATCTAGCCAAGCACTTCTGCCGTGAGCAGAAGTGCGGAGAGGGATCATCGAGGGAGTGAATTGGAGAGGGCGGGATAATGCAACGACGAGGTTCCTCGAGCTGCTTTAAATGAACGGAAGCTAAGCGAGTTGGTCAGTGCGCATGTCACATGATGACTGGTCAGCGGTTCGAGATCGGCGGGCAGGTCTTCTCCTGGTTTTGGTTCGGCTACGGGGTGATGTACTGCACCATCCCCGACTGGAAGAGCCGGTTGACCTTCCTTATGATCTCGCACATGGTCACCTCGCCCCTCCACGTGCAGATCACCCTCTCTCGAGCGGTTAATATCGCCTCATCCGTCTTCCATGACATGCCAGCCTAACTTTCGGTTTTTATCTTAGTTCTTGGGTTAGTAATTGAAGCAGGCTCAGCATAGCAGCCCGGCTAGCTCAATCGGCAGAGCGTGAGACTCTTAATCTCAAGGTTGCGGGTTCAACCCCCGCGTTGGGCTTAACCTTTTTTTCTTCTCTTTTTCTTCATTCTTACGTCTCTGCGTGGTTTCACATCTCATTTCCTTTGTTCAAAAAGCCTTCTAGACCTCTTCCAACCTGTCTCAAGCACACCATCACACATGTACCGATGGGGTAAGTTCAACAACATGGGACTATAGAGGATGAGACAACAATGACATCCGTGCGCACATGGCGTGGTCGTGCCGCGCATTGGTACTATGCAGACGCAACCGTCATGCTGCCGTCCGTCGAAGTGGCTGCACCCTCTCGATGATAAGGTAGCCAAGAGTTGCAGTCAAGCAACGAGATGCGGATAATGTCACCAGTCATGGCGAGAGTTCATGCCGTCTACCCTCGCCAGCTAACAACAGAAAGCAGGGGTAGTGGTATACATTCTTCATGGGAGATCGCTATCGGCCTAATTGGAATGAATTGCAGGATCTCTGTGAGCCTGGACCAATTCGATACACCACCCGCGGTATACGACGGTTCAATAGATCCAGCATCAGAGCGAGATTCGAGTCCGATTTTGTTTCGATAAGGATTGCGAGTATCTATATCGCATGGTGTACCGGTGGTTGATTTTGAGCCGACCAATGATTGATCAAGTCAACGTATATGCCTAAATAGCCCATTTATGCACATCGGGGTGATCAGCATCTTTGGGGATATTTATATAATCCCACCTACCAAGCCAGGCAGTGCCGCTGCATGCCCGCTGCATTGTGGATACGAAGGGGGGAATTTGGTATCAGAGCAAGACAATGTCAAAGGGTTTAACGATCCTGAGACCAGTCAGATTGCAGGGCTACGGTGGCTTGCGTTTGATTTCCTGCACTATGCAGATGGTCTAGATATTCGCTCCGCATTTGTAGATTTCCAAGCACTGGTCAGTATAGATCATGCAGTTCCGCTAGTATTGTAGACCAAGCACGACAAGAAATGAGGGTGCTTCCCCAGCGGCGATTTTTCCAGGCAATTTGAGGGATGATAGCCTAGTATGCAGGGAAACAGGCTAGACGACCAGTGCACAGCTAGGCAACGTTGCGCTTCAGCTGCAGGTCCGACAGCCACTTGGAGTAATCGACCGGGGGGGGGGGCGGTAATTTACCCAAAGTAGTAGCAGGATTTCAGGTCTTTCGAGCTTGCAGTAGTGAATATGCATGGCCTTGATTGAGTTGCCAGCCTGCCACATCATCTGGATTCTGGATCCCCGGCCAAGTCGGGTTAGACGGCGAAGTCGGAGGAAAGGCGGCGGTGTAGATGGAAAACCAGTCCTCTGATTGCCTTTGTCGAGCTTCATTGGGGTCCATTGCGATCCATTGCGATCATCCGACATCCACACGTGTTGCTCCGATTGGCGAGAGCCTGGTATAACCTCAACTTAGTCTGTTTCCTTTTCTTTCTGGTGCAGTTGTTGCAAGGCCGCAGCTATGATTGTCGGAACAAAGAAATTGTGGTGTACATATAAAGTAACCGGGGTAAATTCTTGTTAGCAGTCCATGAAAGATGTAAAAAGATCCGAGTGCAGCACAGCATCACTAATAAGCGGAGGAGGTGACGATGATGTTGATGATCCATCAGAAACGCTTCTTGGTATCCATTGCAGCCGCCCCATCAACCGGGGTGGTTGCAAGCGCCATGATGATTGTGACCATGGTGATGTGTTACACCGGCCATCATCTATACAGTACAATAATGACCATCACCTGTCAGAACATCTCTAGCCAAATGATAGGATAGAAGAGGTGGGGAAAACAATCGACCCCGGAGCATGCAGTACTGGTATGAGTAAAAGGGCCTGTTCTAATTCGGGTAAGGTCAAGCTCTTGCGATTTTTATTCAAATTGAAACACTTTACAGTACGTATATACATGTCTCTACAGAATGAAAATTCATGAAGTACATGCAACAGCCTTTCTTGCTATGGCACCATCGGCCGGAGGGGCAAAAGAACCCGCACCAAACAAATGCACTGGAGCAAGATCATGCAAGAAATCGGCTTGATCGCTGGCAGGAGAGGTATGCGCTATTCTCTCTGTCCCTCACAATAGGTTGTTGCATCAGTACGGAGTACATAGTTGAAGACTGGAAGATTAGTTTGGTTTCCCAGTTAGAGATGTTCCTGGCTGAGGAGGGAAGGGGGGGAGGATAAATAAATGGATAAGGAATAATACTAGATACAGACTGTTACATGGTTCATACAACCATGTCTGTATACATTAAGGACTGCTGTAGGCGGTATAGTGTAGATTGATACCAGGTCATTACGTTCTCTACTCAATAAATTACACTTATGATTTTTTATTTTTTTTTCCGATTAAATTTCCCCCTCCTTCGTCCTTATCACATCAAAATTTCTCTATTTTTACCTTTTTTTGATCTTCCCATCACCCCTCACTAAAAGCCATTACTTACGGAACACTCCCTTTCTAACATAACCCCTCTTCCTTGTTCTTCCCTCCTTATCTTTCTAGTCTCATTCTTCTTCGTCTTCCTTCTCCCCCTCCCTTTTCTCTCCTCTTCTTCCTCCTTCTCCTTCACCATGTCTCAATCAATTTCCACCCAGGATCCTCATGCCACCACCGCCGCCCAAGTCGCCGGACAGTCCGCCCCCAATGCCACCCGCGCCACCGAACTCGCCGATCTTAAAGTAAGCTTGCGCGGTGCTCTGCGTCAGTTCCCTAACTTCCCGCTGCCCGGAATTCTCTTCGAAGACATCCTCCCGATCTTTGCCAACCCCACCACCCACGAGGCTCTCGTGCGCTGCCTCGAGCTCCACGTTCTCGAGAGCACCGGCAACCAGAAGCCCGATGTCATCGTTGGCTTGGAAGCCCGTGGCTTCTTGTTCGGCCCCAGCCTGGCTCTGAGAATGGGCGCTGGCTTCGTCCCCGTCCGCAAGCAGGGCAAGCTTCCCGGTCCCTGCGAGACCCAGGGCTACCAGAAGGAGTACGGCGAGGATTTCTTCCAGATGCAGTCTGACGCCATCAAGCCTGGCCAGAAGGTCGTCGTGGTGGATGACATTATTGCTACCGGTATGGATGTTCTCTCCTCAAGGGTCTGACAATCAGAGCGAACAAACGCTAACGTGAACCCAGGTGGTTCGGCATATGCCGCTGGAGAACTGATCAAGAAGATGGGCGGTGATCTCATGGCTTTCGTTTTTATCCTCGAACTCGAGTTCCTCAAGGGCCGGGAGAAGCTCTCCGCCCCCGTCCACACCCTTCTCACTGGCCAGGAAGAGAAGGCCCTCTGATTCAATCCCACCAAAACAGCCAAATGCATTATATTGCCTCTCTGCTTGATTCCTTGGACAAAGATTTGCATAGTCAGAAAAAAGAGTTCATTCCGCCGAAAATGACCCGCCTGGACGGATTGCGGAGAGGCCGGTAAAGCTGGTATGATGCGTGTTTCGTCATGCAATCAGTTGATGGCCGATATGGCTTCGCTGCATCGTCTATCTCTTGGCCGAATACCCTTTCCGCGACCGAGGATCTAAACCACGTCGGAGAGACGTTGAGACCTTAAAAGTTGCTCGCCGTTGGCAATGACCCGGAATCTTGGATTGGTGTCTCTCGGCATTGTGAAGTGAAATTACTCAGTAGTGATCATGTGTGGCTCTTAGGCATCGGACAAGGCTGCGCATCCTTTCTATACGCATAGACTATGAATTTCCTATATCGTTGATAATATTTTGAGTGAATCGATATCCATTGTAAGGGTCGATCGACAGCCAACCCATGTCTTGGGCAAATGGTCACCTTAACTCCATCAGTCCCAACGAACCATCCAAGTGTCCAAACAGCCTGAATCACCTGGTGTGATATGTCTTGTGAACCTTCTTAGTTCAGAGGAATAGACGGCCTCATAACCTCTTCCGCCCACTTCTCCGGAAGCCCCAGAGCGACCGACTCCCGAATGGCGCGGTTCATTCGTGGGATGTACTCCTCCTTGGGCGGGCCCAACTTGACCCTCAACTCATCCACATACACCAACACTGGTACAGTGCTGCTGCTGCCGCTGCCGCTGCCGCCGCCGCTACCACCATCCTGACTCTTACTGTCCAACCACTGCACCACCTCCGCCTCCACCACCCACTTATTGTAGTCTCCCTGCCCCTGCTCCCGTGGTCGAACACTCAGCGACGGCAGGGGCGCCACCGCAGCCGGCGCATCCCAATCCACCCCCTCGAACCCATCCAACAACCTCTCATCCCTCTCGTCCATCGCATACAACACCCCGTAGACCGCATCCTCCGCCCCAGCAACGGGCACCTCATCGCCCTGCACCCCGGCCTGCGGTCCGACGCGCATCTCCGGCGGCGGGAGAACGTTCGCATAGCCCGGCTGGCAGATGAGCCAGCGCCAGTGCGGCAGACGCGCGATGGCGAGGGGCACGGAGGACGCGGGGCTGTGCACGCAGCGAGTGGCCATCTGGGAGGGGGAGAGGTTCGAGCCGTAGGCGAAGTAGAGCGGTCGTTGGTGTCGTCGTCGCTCCGATCGCGGACGGGATTGTTGCGGTAGGGTCGTCGGATCGGTCGGGCTGATGTTGCTGATGTTGATGTTGATGTTGATCGGTGTGGAGGCAGGGTCCGTGGGGAGACTCGGGGGGTCGTGGAGATGCATTTCTTTTGGTCTACTTTGTTTTTCTGTGGGTGTGATGTGAGGGATATAAGATGGTGTCTTTGAGTTCTGTTGAAACCTGTTCTGTACAATGGACGAGAAGGTGGTGGTGGTGGTGGTGGTGGTGGTGGTGGTGGTGAGAAATGGAATGTAAGGTATGTACTGTGGGTAGTGTATACTGTATAGTATTTAGAATTGAATATATATATGCAAAGACTGGATGCACTGTAAACTGCACTGCTATGGGCTATGTGAATGAATGAATATATGTATAATTTTAAGGTTGAACGAGAAGTGGAAACGGAAATGGAAATGGAAATGGAAAAAGAAGCCTAGGCTCCCTCGGACGAGGGACAGGGACCGCGGTAGATGATTATTACCTGACTCCGGAAGGGGCCGGACTCGGACGGAGGGAGGGGCTTTGGGAGGGCCATACTCCCTAGAGTTGTGGTTGGTTGCTTCGTGTCAGGTTCGGCCCGATTGCCGGAGGCGACTGTCGATTAATTTCGTCTTGAGAAAAATGAACTCCTTGCAGTCGTCATCTCAGTATAAACACTGATACTGATGATATGATATATATGTATTGATGTATTGATGTGCTGTACGTACTGGGCTTATACATCGCATTGCATGTCAGGTACATCACATATACCCTGTACGGGTCTCTTTGTACTGCGTGTCTGTTAATACTAAGTACTCGTATGTATGATGCATGCAGGTATGTACAGTACATATGACAGCAGAAATTCTAACTCTTCCATGATGATATCTCAAATCGGTAACCCATACGTTCTACACAATGTGTAGGTTATGAATCGGGACTCCCTGGGATCGCACCGAATAGCGTCGCTTGATGCCCACTCCGATCGCCTGACGAAGCAATGCATAGGTCTCCTCGCCGCCACCCACCATCACCATACTGAGAAGATGGCGTCGCGGAAGGCCGCCTGCGGTCAACTGGCTCTCGTCGAGATGCGGGCGAACAAGATGTCGCTCGGCGCGTACAGCGGCCAGCCCGGGCGAGGCCGGCCCCGAGTCCGCCGTCTCCCACAATTCCTCCTCTTCGCTAGTCTGAGAGACCACTATTACAAGTTTCAGGGCCTGACGTGACGGCGGATACGCAGGAATATTGCGCAATTTCTCGGAGAAGCTGCATCCGCCGCGCCGAAGCACCAGAACTTGGTGATTCTGGACAATCTCCCGCGATAGACGGTGATCGCAGAGCTCGTCCGCGAAGTAGATGCTGGACCAGGTGAGGCGCCGTTTGGACAGGTCACCCGTCATCGATACTGTCGAAGCATCGTCCACATCCGGCAATGGGGCCGACCCGAGGCCAGTTGAGATGGCCGCGGGAATCATCAAACGCAATGTCGACGATTCATGCGGCGGCAGACCCGTCTCAACATGCGCTTCGTCCCGGAGTAGGGTGGACAATGAACTCATTAAGGAGGACAGTACAGTTTTCATGCCAGAGATTGATGGATCGACACCGCCACTGTTGCCATTCACCAAAGCCGAGTCGTGGATGATTGGGCCTCGAGCCTGTTGTGGTGCAGCGGGTTCAAGGCCATCATCTGAGTCATTTCGTCGACGAAGAAGCTCTGGCAATACATCAATGACGATGTCAATCATGATGGAGTCGCGTACACGCGTGAAGTTCGGGTCAGTGGGGTCAAGCACATCAAATGTGATTTCCCGCGAAAGATATACCTTCTCATCCTTACCCAGCGGCACATTGTTAATTACTTGCACCCGAAATTCGTCATTGTCCGAGCTCTTCGCCATGCCAGGAACGGAGACATCTCGAACCATGCTCAGCCGCAGACCCCCAATGGCTTTCACGAGAATTCCATCCCGGACCCGTTCCAGTGATCCGGGGCCTACAACCATTCCGGGAAGTGCAGGGAAAGAGATATCGAGGGTTGGGCGAGAGATCAAGGGTGCACTGGTTCCGTTGAAGGGTATCAACTCCGGTGGCAACGTCCAAGGGTAGAACGTATAATTTGTGGGTGATGAGAGGTCTGATACCGATATACTCGGATGGTCCTCAGCATATTCAACCAGAGGCCCCTCAGGAACGTCTCTGCTGGGCATGAGGTGTAGGCGAGCCAAGTTCGCGGCATGGAAAACATCAGGACGTGCTGCCGTGGACGAACCCACCAACGTAGGGGGAAGAGGAGCCAATTGGCAAACGGGTTCCTTGCTGTTCACACGCCCCGGTGTCTGTCGGCGTGTATGGAGTGCCGTGCTGCTCTTGGGTATCAGGAGTGGATGGCCCTCTGTAGAAAACACAAACGGTTGGTCCAGCTTGTTCAACGGGTGCTCGAAATCGAAAAGGAGAAACATGTACTTTGCGGTTTCTCCTAGAAAAAAGCTCTCCATTCGATCATTCAACTCGCCATTACGGACATCCTGGATACCAGCCCAGCCGCACTTGGTCCAGCATCGGCGCTTGAGATCACTCAGGACCATCTCACCTACATGCAGATACCATGGATCTTTGGTTGCCCGGTACAGGTAGTAGGTAGATTCCACGAATTCCGGACGGCCACCGTACCATGCCAGACCCTGCTCTATGTTTCCCGTGGCGACATTCCATCTTTCAGGCAGGCCAGAGAAACGGTTCCAGATGGCAGTGGTTAGAAGATGGATTCCAACTGCCTCATCTACTTCCCCGGCCAGCGCCAACAGCCCTGGGTAAAAGGCGCTGAGACTGTCTATCCAAAAAGCACGGGTCGCTCCTGTAAAGATGTCGCCTTGGATAAGGTGGGGGTGTTGATGTCCATCCCCCCGATATAAGTGCCTCTTGATGGACGAATGAGACTCCTGCCATACTTCCAAAAAGGCCTGCGCAGAGTGTTCGTGCTCACCCAAGGGCAGAAAGTAGTCATCCAAATGATGCCATGGACTGCTTGCGTTGTGGGAGGGTCGCTCTCCCGAGGAGAGCAAAACGTACGACTTGAATGCGTACTCAAAGAAGCTATCAATCCCCGCACCAATCTATCATTAATATGGTAAGCAAAGCACGGTTTGTCGTCTAGCCAGCGGAAAGTGCTCACCCCGGTGTACGAGTGTACCCATCGGCCCGATTCGGCATCAATACCAGACCCAATCAAGCCAATCTCACTTCTACGCGTCCAAACGGCCCAAAAAGCCCTCTTCGCAAGCTCTTCGTAGCGACCATCGCCTGTGAGCCTGCTTAGAACGGTAAATTCCAAGACAAGGCTGCCGGCGCCAGCGCTGCACGTCTCCGTAGTTTCTGGGAATGAAGACCAGCGGCCTTTCTGGCAGCGTTCGGAGTTTGACCCATTGCACGGGTGATCCGCATTGAGCGGCGAGTTCGCGTAGAAGGGTTGCCGTTGGACTCCATGTCGCAGATTGACCCGCGGGTAAGGAAGACCGGTGTCTGTATAGAACGCAGGCAGTAGACGGTTCCCCAGATCGACCGCGAGCCGCAAGAGTTGACCATCGTAAACAAACCCGGAAGTCCACATGATACCGTGCCCTTCGCTTTGGAAAGAGGACTTATCCCAGGCTTTTGCGAAGGCGGCTTCTCTATCTGGAGGATTGTACCCAACGATGGGAAGGTCACCTACAGCAAACAGATGAGCGCTGAGAAGTCCGCCTACCGTAATCAATGTCAGTCAGGGAGGCGTCTCTTCATCGGTTCTCGTATTGATGCTATTGGTGCATACCTAGCCCTCGGATGACCGTCTCAAACACCTGAACTTTGCTATCCATGTCAAATCCTCGGCTCCGTTCGCCCTGACCTGCAGGGCTATCTGAACCATCTCCATAAAGCGTGACAAAATCCTCCACTCCCTTTTGAAAATAACCCAGAGCCTTTTGGCTATCCTCTGGACTCGATGCAAGGATGGCTAAGGATGATAGACTGTCGATTAGAGTCAGGGAATAGTTCCCAAGAACATCATTGAGCTCAGCGTGAGCGGGATTATCTCGGTCGCGGACCAACGGGCGACAAGTCAAGGGGCGAAGCTCATCTTCGGGAAATGCATGTTGAAGGTAATTATCAAAGCCGTGATAGAACATATGCTCGGTCTCCTTCCTGGTCATAGTCACCGCGAAGTGCGGTTAGTGGAATTCTGAAACACGGTCATCGCTTTGCAAGGCCTCACCTGAGCTCCCTAACTCGATCGATCCTCATTCCCTGGGCCATAGCAAGCCATGACGACAATAGCAAGACCCAGGTTATCACCCATTCTGAACGGAGTTTGGACATTTGAAAGCGCCAACATCCCTAGCGCATTACCGCAATGGCGAGTCGGATATCACTAGCATGTGAGCACGGAACTGGCTTAGGGCCACGAAAGGATATGCGAAACAATGTCCTTCTGGCCCAGCGAGCTTTGTCTCTAATAAAGAGAAGAAATGCTTTTTTTCCCCCGAGGAAATGGAAGAAAGGAGGGGGAGGAATGTTGCGGTGGTGGGCAGCAGCCTCGCCGCGGGAGAAGCACGTGAGATCGCATCAACCTCCGCGGGATTTGGCGCAACCACGCAGCCGAGCGAGCGGCCAGATATGCCTTTACAATTGATTATACCCGTTCTTTACCCCTGTCTTTGCTAATATCGGAGACAGACCAATAGCGAACTACAGAGATGAAATTCTGGGCTTACTCCTGATTCTCAAAAAAACTTCAATGTCCAGGACCTAAATTCAATATATGATGGCGCTTATTCAATGCTGCTGCTGATATGCCACTATAACTCCCGCTTGAACCCAGACAACCAAAAGATCGATAAGACAAGACAAAGTTGACAAATATGAAGTGATGCATATGTTGGGGTATATGTCGGATAAACGGAAAGAATATGGCCACGGAGGCCTGAATTCCTGCAGGGCAGGATTTCTATCCAAGACAGCCCGCACCAAGCGGGCGTAGAGCAGAACAAGAGGGAGTAAAGAACATCAATGCCAGCGGGCTGATTCCTCCGGGGCATGCCATTGCGTGAAGTATCGTGGCTGTGCTTCGACAACGTAGTCGATTCCATTATCGGAGACATAACTAGGCGGCCGGGGTGGTTGAGACTTGTTGCTGGGACCGCGTTCGTCGACCTTTGGTAACGAGGAATTTTTATCCACACGTTGCCAATACAACAAGTCAGGGTTCAGGCGCTATGAGAAGATCAGCTGGTGCAAACAAGTAGGACCATACCCATCTGTAAACTTACCACGCTGCCTCTCCAAAGACCATACGCTGGAGGAGGTGCTGTTATCTTTTCCCGAGCAGCGTCACGGCTTGCAGTCATAGCATCCTCATCCGCCGCCAGAACGACGTGGATGGGATGTGCCGGTTGTGCATAACCAGAGGGTCCTGCCCTGCTTGGTATGCGGTTCGTGGCGATCTCAGAATCAGGTCTTGGTACTATTGCCATGAGGAAACGAGTTAAAGCATGGCAGAAAACGATGCCAATTATTAGTATCATAAAGATCAAAAGAATTTGAAGCTCCCGGCCTAAGGTAGTGCGCGAAGCAGCGAATACAAGGTATACTGCGACAACTGCAAGGAGGAACACTCCAGACGCAGCCAATGTGATGAGCCGCCTGCGAACCTTCCTCTCTGCAAAGATCGAGGTACATGAGCGCTTGCCACAGTTGGGACTGCCAGTGTTGCTTGCCAAAGCTAGATCTTGTGATTCTCTGCACAGGCCCATTTCAGCTTGCGGCTCATGGCCATTCCGCTCTGTAGATGACTGCATTTCGATAGGAAAGTATGTCCGCTGTGGCGCATATACTGATGCAGAGACATTTCCGGAAATATTGAATGACGTTACAGGACCCTCACGTAGGCGGGGTCCCTGGTCTGGAATGCGATCATCACCAAGGAGTTGTTGCCCATCATCCAGGCGACGGTCATTTGCCCTTAATGCGATGCGTTGGCCAAGAGGCGAAGTGATGTGGGTTAGATGATCCGATCCGTGAGTGTTGTCAGACCATGCTGAGTTGGATAGCATGCCAGTGTTTAAGTTGGAATGTGTCGAATCTGGATGAGACAGCCGAACCGATTCCATGTTGAGAACCTTTAATGGTCAATGACTGACATCTGGTCTAATCCCAGCGAAAGAGACGAAGAGTCAGAGTAAACGTCGAGATAGAATTGGATTTAATACCCAAAGAGAGCACTCAGGCGACAGACCCTCGAGTCGCAATGCGGTTTTCTTGTGGACGGAAGTATGTATGAATCCGAGGCCACTTCCGCATCCGTTCAACAACACACAAACAAGCTTTGAAAAAGCGTACACTGTGACGGAAACCTCCTGCGAAGATCGACTTCAATGAAGCCAAACCGGAAGTCCCAGGCAAGTTCGGTGATAAGCGACGAGAATAGATAAGTAGGTTGAATTCGGCGTTAAAAGTTCATGATGATTCAGCCCAAGTCGACTGAGGGGCACTGGGAAGCAGCATACGGGAATCCCGATCGCGAACCAAGGTGTCCAGCAACCAGAGGATCGATATTCAATGCGTCGAGTGACACAGGCAAGTATAATTGTAGTAAGACAATAGCGGCAGTAGGCTAAGCTTGCGGTCCAGGTTGTGTGAAGGTTAGATCAGTGGCTATACTCGGTGATGGAAAACCGGACTTGATAGCGAAGGAAAATGAATATTATAGTAGCTGCAGCTAATCGGTAAAAAGGCAGTGAGCAAGTGGATGCGATGAGACTGATATGAAGGTAATCGACAATGATATGTGATATGTGCACAGGGGATAACGAAATGACGGATGCTGGCTGAAGAGAGAAAGGAGATGGTCTGATCGATAAGAAGTCAGTTTGGGCAAGTTAGCGAGGGGCAGGATAGGTATGTCGGGAGAGAGGGAGTGATGATCGTCTCATCATAAATATGAAATGAAAATTGGGTTAAAGAGAAGGAAGAAGGAGAGATAGCAGAATATAGGATAGAGAGAGAGACCGAAAGACCGAGAGACAGAAACAGAGAGACTTAGTAGGGAGAGACAGAGAGAGAATGCGGCGGCGTATGTTGAGCAGGGGAAAGGAACAGCAAGCCGCGGCCAGACGGTAATTTAGTGCAGTTGGTGGTCTCAGTTGTTTCCATAAGTAGCAACTAGAGGACTAACCAACACTAATTTTGGAGCCACTCAGTGTCATCATTACATGGATGGAGTAGCTAAATTCGCTGGTCGCGTTTGCGATGTGAAAAACAAATCGACAATTAACTAACAAATAGATAAGTTAACCTACAGCTTAATTTCAGTATCAGTGCCGATTATCTATAATTAGTATTATCGATTCACAACCCTCTGCTCAATCAATCCCTTGGTTTTCATACTTTTCAATTTATATTCATATCTTGTTTTAGGCAATCTGCCATGAAGCATTTACCCCTGGATGACCCACGTTTGCCGCTCGGGTCTACAGCCACACTTCAGAACCAACACATGTAAACGCAGTAGTACAGTAGTACTCTCACTCTTCAGTGATGTCATGGTTGATGCTGGTGACCATATAATGAATTATTTGGCTGCACCACCCGCATGAGATTTATAATGTACACCAAATGGAGGAGCTAAACAACTACAGGAGCGGACAAAGATGCTGTGTGGTGGGTGTGGTGTCCCGTTGATGATTACATTGAAATGGGGGTGACCCAATGGAGATCTAATGGTAGCCTTTTGCTGTCATGCGCATTTCAATCCTCGTTCTTGATTATTCAAGTAACTCTCCTTGCCTAGGATGGCCCAGACCTCGCTTGGACGTGCTGCTGTGACCATCATGATCCAGAGCCACACGAACCCCCGGAGAGTTGAGCTTGAAATGGTGAGCGTGGTATATTCCAGTCGCTTCTTATGCGGTACCGTGACGTTGATTACATCGCTAGATGTCTGACATAGCCCCGAAGACAAGTTCACTTGCCGAGTTCGCCGAGCAGAAGAGTGCGATCAGATGACCCGGACACAACTATTCGGAAAGAGTTAGAACATAACAGTCAAGCAAAGGACAGAAAAAGACTCCACAGCCGAGGACTTACTGATGGGCTCGTTGTTCGGTGAAAACCGAACATCATTAACAGTTCCCTTATGTCCTGGTAATTTGTATAGGAGCTTTCCGCTCTTAGAGTTCCACACGACAACACTTCGGTCACCGCTTCCGGTGGCGATCTTCTCACCCGTCGCGTCCCAACTGGCCCGAATTAAATTCTCTTCCAGACCAACTGGGGCGCCATCGAAAGTTCGAATGTGTCGATTGGTTGGTGCGAATGGCCGAACGTCCCACGTCCGTACAGTAGAGTCGAAAGAGTTGGAGAGAAGCGATTGCGAGTCTGGGGATAGTTCGAGCGAGGTGATGGTGTGCGTGTGTCCTGTTAAGGAATATACAATACTTTTCTTTCGAAGATCCCAAGCATGAATGGCGTTGTCGATACCACCACTGAATATCTCGTTTCCAGCCTCGGAGAGGGCCACCGCAGTGATAGGAAGTTCGGTTTCCAAACAATCGATAGCGTCTTTCTGCCGAGGATCCCAGATACCTATGCTGCCATCATTGCTAGCGCTAACCAGTAACTCCTGGCCTCTTTTGCTGATATCAAGACAATTGATATAATCTTCATGGCCCACGTGTCGTCGGATCCTTTGACCTGTTTCTAGGTCCCAGCTGGCAAGCGTCATGTCTGTCGATGCGGAGAATATCGTCTTGGAGTCTCGAGACCATTGAAGATCACGAATAGCGCCCCGATGACCCGACAATGCGCCATAATTCTCACATTCTCCGTAAGTATTCCAGAGTACTATTTGTCACCGATGTTAGCTTCTCGTATTTAAGTTGAAAAAAGCGGAGTGGTTTGCTCACAGATTGATCTGTCCATCGATCCTGAAGCAATGTGCTGACCCGTTGGATCAAATCGTACAGAGAAAACCTCGCCAGAATGACCTGATATATATATGTTAACCGACAGGAAATTGCCTACCCTCCGCGCAAGCCTACCTGTCAATTCCATGATTGGGGCCTGGAGCCCGCTGGTGCGGGGAACCTGTTGTCGGGATCAGAACAGACACTCGGTAGATTTTTTCCGGGCTATTCAGTGACCTACTGCTTGCACGAGAGCCCCGTTTTGCGAAGAGCCCTTGACCACAGCTGCACTGTTATCGATACCAGCATCGGACTTCTTTCGCTTGACGACTAGCTGGTTGGAGGACCCGAAGGCCTCTTGAGCAGGTCGCTTCTCGCCGGACATCATTTTGTAATGAGCTGGCTCGCCAACGGGTAAGAAACACGTGATGGTCGCCAGGCGGGGAAAGACACCGAGAAATGTTTAGATAGGATTCGGAAATGTGCTAGGCTAGAATTGAAAGGTTATGGGGGATAGGAGAGCGCTGAGTGAGTGCCTGGTCTTTCTCCCGAGCATCGCAATCATGGATGCTGTGTGACATTAGCCGCGATAGACGCCCGCGGATGGTCCACTAGGCGGTGAAGCTCCGCCTCGGTCCCCAGATCGAGTGGGGAGAGTTCATTGTCAACACTCGGCCGGCTACCCAGGCAGCTGAGATCGGATATCCTATTCCCTTGAATTTTTGCCCTCAATCCTTGGCTGTCAGAGACAGACTTCAGCGCCTATAATGTCATCAAATACCAAAGCATCTAGGATTGGCGAAGAGTAAGCGAAGCCGCAGTTCCACCTAATGATCTGCACATCCGCTAACATGACGACTATTATGCTAGACTATGGAAGTAAGTGAGCGGCGCGAGAAACATGGTGCCCTAGGGCAGTTCTCCGATTAAGGGACGCGGGGACTCACCACCTGGCTTTGATAGAACAAGAGTCGACAAAGTCAATGCGGAGCTAGTCACGTTGACATATGGAACGATTGTCGCACAACTTTGTCAGGACTATGACGGAAACTATCAGGAGGTCAACAAGCAGCTGGAAAAGATGGGCTACAACATCGGAATGCGCCTTATTGAGGATTTTCTGGCGAAATCGAATGTAGGCCGGTGTGCTAATTTCCGGGAGACGGCAGACATGATTTCTAAGGTAGAGCTTATTACTTCGATCTCGCTCGGACGTCTTGGAATCAATGAGCTGACTCCTGGAATGTGTGACAGGTCGGATTTCGGATATTCCTCAATATCGCCCCCACTGTAACGAATTGGACAAGTGACAACAATCAATTCTCGTTGGTGTTTGATGAAAACCCGCTTGCAGAGTTTGTTGAACTACCAGATGATGGGCGGGCCCAAGATGAGCTTTGGTTCTCAAATATTTTGTGCGGTGTTTTGCGGGGGGCTTTAGAGATGGTAATATTTTCTAATCCAGCCAAAAATACTCGCACGCAGGCTACTGATTCTGTCAACAGGTACAAATGCAGATCGAGGCGCATTTTGTAAGCGATGTACTGCGAGGGGATGACACCACGGAGATGCGCGTATCACTTGTGAGGTACATTGAAGATGAGATGCCACCTGAGGAGGAATAAACACGGCGGGAAGTGTGTTGCATGAATTTAGTATTATTGGTCGAGGCGTCCGGTGTTTGCGGGTTTCATTCAGTATCCTAATTTGCAGCTGCAATGGTTGATCGAGTCCCCGTACCTTATGATTGATGGAGCTACAAGTAAACCAAATATTCTATGTGCGATATATGTACATTTATACTCTTATCGTGAGGGCCACACAAAGAAAAGGGACAAGATGTAAATGATGAAACACTGACGAAGGTTTGAAAAAGTGACCCTGTAATCAAAAATGAAGGTGCAATAGACAGTTGCATAGAAAGAATAGGCCAGGACTAGATCCTAGATCGGATTCTCTGCCCTAATAGTATAAGTAGTTATCTGACACTTCAAACATTTGCAGCGGCATAAATCCATCTAACACATTACTTCATAATTTTCATAATTATCATCTTCACCCCCGCCCATGAAATAAGCTGTGAGAAAATAAAGTATCTTAAGATGATAATGATAACAATCTTCAAACACCATGAGCTCTATGCTTTTTATGTACATAGTTAAGGTTGAGATATGCAATTAGATGGGACGATGACATGGGGAGATGTGGCCGGGAGCCACGTGATGCACTAAGCCCCAATAGGCAGCGGACAACTTCCCTTGACTGTGCTAAGAATTACGCAAGGTCCCAGTCCGTCCTGGAGGACTACGGGCTTTATCGATAGATTGAGCAACCTAAAATGTCGAAGCTTAGAGCATTTGACATTTGAGATGCTTGCAAAGTTTCATACTTGTTAGTATTGACTACGAGTATTTGTCCAACTGGATCTGCTGAACTTGTTAGTTAGCTCAATTGATAGGTATGTACCGATATCGTTGCGTTCAACAGCAGTCTCAATCTTGCCCCCGACTATATTCGCCATCGATAGGTGATTTGTGTCGCGCCGGATAGATCAATTCCCTTTCCATTGTCATTTTGGTTAAGTGACTACGGTCTACGGTCTCTACTCCCGTAGACCAGTTATCGATCCATCCATCCTTTTTAGACCCAGCGTCTGTCTGATCTGGTGATCTTTGTTGATTCAAAACGAAGAGTAGTGATCATACTGCATGCTCGAATTTTTCTGAATTTTTTTTTTTTTTTTTGATTTTCTTGCTGCTCGATCTGTGTTCTGTGTGTACTTGACTTTCCCAGAAGCTAACCAGCTCTCCTCAACTGTCTAGATACATCACTTTGACCCGATCGGTCTTCTGTTGTCTTGCCTCTGGGAAAAGGACTTGGCTCTCCACCTTTCCGTCCCTTTCCCTTCTTTCTTCCCCTACTCAATCACCTCACTACTACTCACTCACCAACTACGAGTAAATCCTCTCTTTTGTCTTTCTTTTGCTTTTTCTGGTTCTGTATTAGTGCTGGTAAGTTTATTTTATCATAATTCGAAATTTTGCCTCTTTGTTCCTGTTGTCATCATTATTATCAATATCAACATCATCATCCGCATCATCATCATCATCATCATCAATAATTTTTTTCCCCTTTGCTTCTATTCTTCCTTGGGGCCCGGGGTGGTTGTGTTGCCGCCATATGTGGAAGTGCATGCTGAAATATACGCCAGCCAGCAGCATCTCCCAGCCCTCCTGCGGCGTTCCGATCAAATTCTTCCGTTCCGAACAAGCGATTCACGCCCAGCCGGCAGTGATTGAACAGCCCAGCAACTCCAGGCACCGCGCCTGATATCCACGTCCTCCCACCCACCAGAGAACACCTCAGATCCACCGCTACACCTTGTCCTAACCTTCGCCTCTCCTCCCTCCTCCTCCCTTCCCCCCCCTCCCTCCCTCCACCTTTTCCTCGAATCTGCCGGATCTCTCCGTCTCTTTCCACTTTCTCCCTCCCACACACCCACCCACCCCCATTCCCTTTTTCTGCAGGGGCTCTAGTGATTTACTCTTAGCCCCTCTTGAAGTCCTCCTCTTCCCTCCGCCTCTTCTGGATTTCCAGGTGGTGATACTTATTCTTGAACTTTGAGACGCCTCCTTGGCCGTCTTCTCTCTTCTATACGCCGTTCCCGTCCTTTGCCTACTCCTGTCGCTTGTCGCCGCCCCCATATCTCATATTAGCTGATTCTACCGCGCATTCTCGAGCGACTGGGTCCTTGTACGAACATAATACTCTTGTCCCTGTGTTGCCTTTCCATCTCACCCGACACTGCTCCCTCTGACCATCCATCTTTCATCGTGTCGGTTAAGCGACAGATTCTTTCGTACATACTTGTTCCATTCGCTCCCGCGTGAGACACGCTGGTCTTGATTCGGGGATCATCGCGACTGCGTTGTCCTTCTGCGCCACATCGAGTCAGTTAGGCGACTTCGCGTCTGGTTTAAATACTTTCAACCGTCTGATATCGGGTCGGAAGCAGCTGTGATCTAACCTCTTCCCCATTGCCTGGATATCTGCGCGTCTCGTCTTTCTGCTTGTTGTGAACCATCTCGCCGTGAGACGGTGGATGCGCGCTGAGAATATTTGATATTAACAATCATCCGGTGAGGGTGGCTTACCCCTTCGTGTGCCACCATGAACCAAATGAACGTGGCTGGGATGAACCCCGGTGCGGGCGGTCCTGTGGGAGGTGTTCCAATGATCAACAACGGTTCTGCGGCCCCTCGCAACGATGCAACCATCCATACTATCCCTGAGAGCACAGTCGGCAACCTCAACACTTTTATCTACGACTACTTCCTGAAACGCGGTTACTATGAGTGCGCCAGAGCGCTTGTGAAGGATGAATCTGTAAAGCTTAATACCGAACCCCCCATCAAGACGAGCCCCGGCCATCGTCGCGATGGTGATGTGAATGGGGTCGATGGAGATGCAATGATGACTGATGCAAAGGATGGGGATAAGAAGATACCCGATGATCTTCCTCGCCCTCACATCTCGAGCGAAGGTCAACAGTCGTCTTTCCTTCTCGAATGGTTCAGTCTCTTCTGGGAGTTCTTTTGGGCCCAGCGCAAGAAGGGAAACAGTGCTGATGTGCGACAATACCTCAATCATACCCAGGTATGTATCATTCGCAAGCCCGCAATATACCTTGGAGTCTAACTGGGGCTTTGTAGAACATTATGCGCCTCAGAGAGCAACACCAAAATCAACTTTTACGGCAGCAGCCGCTGATGCCTGGCCAGATGGGACAAATGAACATTCGACGCAACGGCATGGTTCCCCAACCTCTTCAGAAGAACGCTCTGCAGAACAATACTCCAGGCCTGTATGCTCATTCTTCTGCATTTCCTGCAGGTTGCAGGTGATATACTGATCTGTTATATAGGACCCAACAGCAACTGCAGCAGCTTCAAAAAAACCAGCATCAACAACTCCAAATGATGCAAATGACTCGCGAGCACTCAGACATCGATATGAATGGCCACCGACCACAATCCCCCTCGTCCGCAGAAAACGCCCCATCTCCTTCGAAGCGGCCCCGTCTTGAAGGTGGCCTCATGAATGGTCAGCAATTAGCTCCCAACGGACGCGCTCAAGTCCAGGGCATGCCAGGCCAACCGAACCCTCAGGCCGCTCTCTTGATGCAGAATGGACTCAACCGGGCGATGAACCCCAATCAATTCCAGGCTTTCCCGCAGTCAGGACCTGCTGCGCAGCAGAAATCTATCCAGGTATATGCTCAGAACTTGGCCATTCATCACTCACGCTCAGCAATGAATAACCAGGGTATGCCGAATGGTATGATAAACCCCGGTGTCATGCAAAACCAGACGGATATGGTGTCCATGCCAGATGGCCAGGTGTATCCCATCAACGGCGACTACTATGGCGCGAATGGTCAAATGGCCCAGGTCCGGAACGGGATGCAGACACCTGGCGGTCAGCCCGGAAACCACGCTCTTCAAGATTATCAGATGCAACTTATGCTGCTTGAACAGCAGAATAAGCGGCGTTTGATGATGGCTCGCCAAGAGCAGGATAGCATGGCCCGTCCTGACGGCCAGCCCCCGCTGCCTGGGCAGCCGGGCCTGCAACCAGGCACTTCTCCCCAAGGCAGCAGGGCGGGCACGTCGCCAAATCCCAACGATCAAATGAAACGGGGCACGCCGAAAATGCCCCAGACCGGTCTCCCCGGCTCCCCGAGTGCCGGCGACGCGATGGCCCAGGGTCGTGGTTCTCCCGCCTCCATGAACTTCGGTAATCAGATTCCTCCTGAAATGGCCGGTCAGTTCTTCGTGAAGGGTATACCCGATGGTATGACCGGCCCCAACGGTATGCGACCCCCAAGCTCCAACCCAGCGTTTAGCGCCCCTCAGATGGGTCAACCCATTCCCGCCGGCGCCGGAAACCGGGTACCCAGTGGAAATTGGCAACCTCAGCAGGGTGCCCAGCAACCCATGGCTCCGCAACAATCGCCTGCAACCCAACCTCAGTCGACCGGGACTCCACAGGAGAGGAACGCGATGCCGCCTCCCCAGGCTCCTCCTGCAGCCGGTGCGAACACTGGTCGCACTCAGCCACCCTCCCCCCAGACGGCCGCTGCCGCCCCACCGACGCCGCAGCAGGCGAACAAGCCTGCCCCTAAAAAGAAGGAGGCTAAGGACACTCGTAAGGTATGTATCTATGGGGTTCATTCTTGCGCATTCGTGGCTTCGTCCATGTCACTAATTGAGATCGCAGCGGCCTTCGAAGAAAGCAACCACTGCTGCCGCAGCGGCTGCCGCATCAGCAAACGCGGCTGCCACACCATCCTCTGAAGCTGAACACCCGCCCACTCCTACTCCATCCACCCCAATCACCCCTCAGCATCCAGCCTCGTTCAACAAGGCGGGTGCCAATGTTACGACTAGTGCTCCTCAGCAGCCTACGTCTGCCCCCGCACCTCAGCCGCTCGTGCAGCCCCCACCCGATCAGGGTCAGCAATTCGGCGAGCTTGGTGTACCTGATGTATGTCATCAAAAATTCTGGGATTCCCACATGGATTGCTGTGAACGAGAAATTGTATGCTGACTGCCATAGCCACAGGTGTTCAACCTCGATTTCAGCGCTCTAGAGAACCCAGACATTCTCGAGAACTTTGACTTCGACACATTCCTTAACACCGACGCCGACACGGCTGGATTTGGATTCGATCCCAATATATCGTATCCTACCGACGGTGTTGAGACCGGTGCCGGGGATGGCCTATGAATGTGATCCGACGGTTGTTCAGTTCTTAACTCATATACCCTTGCTTTGTACATTTCCATAAACTTCGACATGTGCTGTGCTTCTGCTCTATTTTCTTCCTTGCTGCCGTCACCCACCGTCTTTCTCTGTTGACATGATTTGGATACGTGCTTTACTGACAAGGCGTTGGCGTATCCGTTCTGCATATTCCTTACTTTGCTTTGCCGACGAGAGGTGCTTGAAAACTGGCTCCGGAGAACATGGCTTGTATACAAGCCGCTCTTTCCAAGCCCTTCGCGTTTTTGTGTGGCCCTTGTTTTTGAAATTCCTTCTATTTCTTCTACTATTATTATTTGATTAATTTTGTCCCTTTTATCAATTCTCCCCCCTTGAGGCCACCTTCGGGTGTGATGTTTCTCTAGCGTTAGCCATGCAGACCCCTTATCCACTCCTACATTAATACTCGGGATCCCCATCACAATATGTACGTCCTTGGCTGGCCTTTTTCTTCTCTCCCTTCTCAAAGTCCCTTCCTTCCTATTCTTCCCTACAAACAGGTTCTGCTTGTTTCGATCATTTTATCTTCTCTTTTTTTTTTTCCCTTTGTCTTACTTACTTGCTATCTTCCTTGTTTTTGACTTTGGCGTTATCAATGAGGTCCTAGTCGCTACTTTGACTCTTCTTACGGGAATGGTTTTATGAATCGAGGAAGAGGGTTGACGTCTTCTCTTAGCCTTTTTCTTTCTGCCTCACTTCATTTTTACATCGTATTCAATTTCAGCCGAGATCTGCGTTGCAACATTGCTTGCTCCCTGCCTATATGCGATTCTCTATCTATGTCGTGCTGGAATATCTGCTCCGCCCGCCTTTTTCACAAGAGATCTGGTGCGCTTCAGCCGGCCTACTGCAAACCAGGCCTATTCAGTGAACTTTCTAGTCTCGTCAGGGTATGGTAAAAGTGATCATAGCAATTCCATTGTTACAATATGTCGTCGCGTCGCCGCTGTTTTTATGACTCGCACATTCATCAAGATAGTCAATTCTCCATCAGCGCAGCTGGGGCCATCCATATAGAGAACACTTGTACTGTCCTGCACTAAGACCCAGACACACAGGAACCAATTCCCCTCCAGTCCTTATCCTCCATCCCTGAAAACAAAACCGCCAACGTACAACACACGATGACACCAGAATTAAATTATCCTTCGAAAATAGACAGACTACGCTCAGGAAACATCATCTTTCCGTGGGCACTTCTTGAATCTGGCATTAAGTCATGGTTAACTGACAGCTGGTTTCCCAACAACGCGCACTACTACTGGTGATCATGCATCATAGTTTCTTCATTCTTGGCTTTCCACTGTTCGACACTCTGACGCTGTTTCGCAATTTTGGTCTCAAGCTCTTCGTCCTCTTCGACCATCCGTATCAAGTACTTAATAACCTCTTCGGCACAGGCTTGTTCGGCCAGTGACCTGCTGTCCTGCAGACCGGTCACGGGGCCGACGGCGCCGGCGCGTCGGAGGAATGGATCGGTCTTGAAGTAAGCCCCTGCAGTATATTCTCCGCGTGTGTCGACCAAGCGCCCGTCCTGTCTGTCAACTCGGATCTCGGGGTATTCCAAACGGAGGAGATCGCAGACCTCTGTACGTAGAAGCATATAGTTAGCAGCTTGGCCAACAAGCACAAGAGCAAGCACATGGGACCTACTTTGCAATCTTTCAGTAGACGAAGCCAGATCATGTATCTGCCTCTGGATTTGACAGGGCATCACTGCCCACCTCTTTTCTTCTTTCTCGGCAGGTACTTCAATCGATGCCAACCTGGAGTGTTGAAGTGGCAACATGTTTGAGTTCCGAGGGACGCTTTTGGGGCGCTTTCTGTTGCCATCAACCTCGTTAGGGAACCCAGCTGAGGGCTTATGTTCAATTGGTCGTTTCTTCTTCTGGAACTGCACGATACGTTCACGTTTCGTCTTCTTGCGAGAGGCTTTTGCATGGTTGGAATTCCCCCAGATGTAGGTCCGTGCCTGGACAGGGTCTCTTGGAACCAAGGCGAGCAACCTAGCATCCATCCCCTCCAGAGTCAGCGTGCCCGAGAGGTTGCTATTTGTTTCAGAGCCATCGATGTATAGATGCCGCAGAGCCAACAAGGCGCATGATCTTCGTGAGAGTTCTTCTTCAGCATAGGTCCCAGTTCTGCCAGTGTAGGTCGTACGGTGGACCTGAACCTTGTGATAAATCTCGTTTCCGTGCATGATTCTAGTGTAGCGGGGCAATTCAAAGCCATTGTGGGTACAGAATTCTGCCGGGAAGCTGGTCAGATGGGCCTAAAACATGCGATGATAGAGTCTCTTGCCTTGGAGGAGATCAACCCAATCCCAATCGACCGACGATTCAATGTTGTCAAAATCATCAGGCAAAATCCAATCCGGAAAATCAAGTTGCAGCTTGTTCAGTGCAGCGCGACAGACATCGGATTTGGCCTCTTTTTGAGTATCATAAACGGTCGACTTGATGATAGTGTGCCCATACATGGTGAGCTTGACTCCCCAACGACGACTTTTCGAGAAATTGAACTGAAAACGCGGAAGGAGCAGTGCTTGCGTCGTGAGAACACCAAAGCAGAAAAGAACCACAACATCTTCCAGGTAATCCAAGTCTACATCTGCGAAACGTGAAATCTTCGCGGGTGAATCCTTCATGTTCCACGCTTCGACGACAACAACCGTTGGCTTGCGCGCTTGGGGCTCTTCTTTGCTCCACATATTGGGGCTTGGTTCGCGTTTTAGATTCGCAGGGGCAAATGAAGCCACAATCTGGGGTTGTATGAGACGTGGCGTTGGGATTACATGAGATGTAGGTGATGGAAGCGGGTTCGTCCCCTCTGCTGGAGTAGACGCCCGATCAATGAGTTTCCAATATGGCGATGGATCATAAGCCCAATGTGCGAACCCCGCAGGCGAGCCGGACTCATACTGTGAAAGTACATCTGTGAATGGAGTACTCAAAGTGGAGGATGCTGCTAAAGCCTCGTGCGGAAGGACGTGGTGTTTGTCCATCGTCAGCAACAATTTGAGATTTTATGACAGAGACGATGACAAGAGAGCGCTTGAGGCGAAGAAAGAAATAAGTAAGAGGGGAAAGTGAGTAGAGAAATCGAGAAGGCAGAGTAAGAAGAAATGTAAAGGGCAAGTGAAGGGGCACGCACACCTTCCGGGTTTGGGCTAGAGAGAGCTATTGGGGAAGAAACCGACCCATGTGAGAACTTGTTTCATTGAATTGACATCGCAATGCAATTTCTCAATTCTCATGCATGCTAAACATGTTAATTTTGCCTTCGACGACTGACAGACTCTTTCGATAGGGATAGATATATAGGTATGATCAATGAATGTCCAGTGTCCAGTGTCCAGTGTCCAGTGTCCAGTGTCCAGCGTCCAGCGACCCAGCAATCCAGCATCAGTCCCATGTACTGTACCTGCACGCCTATTATTGGAAACAGAGCATGAATCACACGTAGAGTAACACAGAAGGTAGAGTTCAAGGTGAAACAATCATCCGACAGTGAAACATATTAAAGAGACTGCGCCTAGTAGTAATGTAACGATAAGACTAATCGATCTCTGCCACATCCACGGCCATGCTGGCAACAAGCGGCGGTCTCGTCTCAAGGGAGCCATCAAGGTTCGCATGATGAACCAGGTGTCCACCCATAGGTAAGTCTTTAGTGGGAGACAGCAAGATGGGTACCTGTTTGGCTTCGCGAAGGTCCTCGCTTCCACCAGCAGAGCCAGATGATAGATCCGCCTTGGGCTCGGTTGGCGTACCCATCATTCCGCTGGCACGTACTGTAGGCCTCAGCGGTGTCTGGCGAGCCTTGCCACTGTCTTTCCCAGATGTCTCTACCGAAAATTCATTCTCTTTGTTCTCGTAAGATAGACCTTCCTTGCGACTCTTGACATGCGTGCTTGGACTGGTATGCACCTTGCCTGTTGCTGCAGCTTCAGCAGCCGGGTTTGTCTTCGTGCTTGAAGCCGACATTTCCCTGGTCTCGGGCACCGATGTCTCTCTCAGTTCGGATGCTCGTCCTGTGCTCTTCGAATAAGACGCAGATCGAGCTCTCGCTGCCGCCGAAAGCTTAGTCCCCATGGGCAGCGCAGTCGAAGGTGTGTTTGTGGGCGCATACGTGCCACAGTTGAGGGGTGCAGGACTCAGCGCTTCTAACAACTGAGTGTACGACTCCTCGTCGATAGGGGTAACAATACTAGGATGCTTGCTGTGTTCATAACTGATGCCTGTCATGCTTGAAATGGCGCGGCTACTACTGGAGTTGGACGTATAGTCTGGCATAGGAACATCTTCCCAGGACGCTCTAGCTCCTCGGTGGCGTGCAGCCGGGTCGAGCACGCAGGGGTCAATGAAGGGATCTGTTACGAATTGTTCTTGAGGCAGCCATCTGGACTCGCCTGGTTGGCCTTGCCATTGGGGTACCTGCCGCTGATAATTGCGGTAAGTCCAAGAGCTGCACCCAGATTGGTTGCTGGTCTGGCTTCTAGTGGCCAAGATTTGTCGACCCTCATGTCTTGAAGGTGAGTGCGCGTGGCTATCTTCAGGTTCTTTCATGTCGCTTATAGCACACCTAGAGTTGTACTTAAACAGCCGGGACTCACGCGTCCACATAGAGGGATTCGGCCAGGCAATTTCGGAGTACTCAAGAATCTCTAGTTCTTGTCAGTGAGGCTTGTAAGCTCAAGTGATTCATAGCACAACTCACGGAGAGGAGCATGCTGGAAAGCAAATGCGATGACTTCTTTCACACGTTCGAAGGGAGGCGAGCGGTGAGGTCGCGAAAACCCTTCGGCAATTACTACCCTGATCCTGCCGTAGAGTTCACCAGCATCCCAATGCGGTTGCTTCAGGATTTCATGGTGAAACGTAGGGAAACGGAGACGATCTTGGTTGCCGCTTTTATCGACATCTGGGCGAAACTAAGTCAGGAAGCTCACTCGAACAGCAGAGGATTGGAAGGGATTTCTGAAACGCACAGGAACTCAGGTCTAAGCCGGCAGAGTCATCTCAGTCAGCTCTGCTTGCATGTCACGTCCGACTCGAGGGCATCAAGACTTACCGAGAACATGAGGCCAAGAGGATCTCTGAGTAAACACGCTACCGCTACAGGATATTAGCAAGCACGACTCCGAATGAAGGAGCCTGCAGGCGACTGAAGGTTGCTTACGACACGCAAAGCCCGTCGATGAAGACGCGGACTTCGAAGAGCAATGAATCATCTGGCTGAAGAAGACTTTCCATGAACCGGCTAGGCACAGGCCTATCCCAGCTATGAATGGACACTCGAAAAGGAGTATTTTGACGCAAGCTTGGGATGAACGTAGTCAATACCGGCAACTGTCCCATATTGCCTTGTGGTATGGAGCATGAGGCTGGGTTGATAAGGGCTGGGCTGTGCAGGTAGGGAGATTCTGCACGAGCGTTAGCAGAGAACGCACACATTCATCTGACCGTAAACTCCTTGAGCACTACTAACCTTTGTCCTTGGTGACAAAACATTGCGTCTTGAATTCTTGGAGAGGCACCTTGGAAGTTTCGGGGAAGATAAGCACATCCCAATTTTCGTAGCGCATATTGAAACTTCTTGTCGTGGGTATCTCTATTTGGGGAGAGGGGCGAAGGGCGAGGCGATGGATAAACTGAGCAAGGAAGAATCGACGGATAGTAAGATATGTCAAGTATAAAGACCCTCCTCAAACGGTGATTATATTGAGGAAGACCCAAGAGCAGGCCTGGGATTGAGATGGAGAGCAAGTATAAAACGAGATGACAGAGTGGAAATGCACAGACAGAAGGGGAGTAATTGAGAAAGAGACAGAGAAAGGGAAAGAGACAGAGAAAGGGAAAGAGCAAGGAAGGAAGGCGGGATAAGGAGTAGGAGGAGGAGGAGGAGGAGGAGGAAAGGTCGGTGGATGGATACTAGTACCTAGATACCTAAGCTGGAGGTAGATGGGACGTCCATATGGACAATAGGCAATGGACAATGATGATAAGTAAGTAGGAGAAGCAGAAGGAGCAGGACCAGGGAGCAGGACCAGCACCTGCCTTGATCGGACGCTTTCCTGCAATCTATGGGAGGTCAACTCAATCAATACCTAATCGGTAGTAGACAGGCATCTATATCGCGTTCAAGGTTCCAAGTTCCATATACTACATAGCGGAATGAGCTCAGCTCCCCGCGAGCCAATATATCGCCACTTCGATATGGCAGGTAAGAACAGTTATAATGGCAAGAACGACAACAGCAGCAGGAGGACAGGGTCAAAATCCTGTCAGGCTAAAGGGGAATCGTCCGCACCGCAAAGAAACAAAAAAAGAGAAGTAAATAAATAAATGAAAAACCATATTACAACAAAGCAAGTTCAGCGCCCTCAAGGCTAAGCCCCATCGGCTAGACCTCAATGGGACCCCAAGGACAACTACAGATTAGATCAAGAAGCAGGCAAAGCGAGTAAAGCCCATCACTCCAAATACCAAGTCATGACGCTTTGCGAGTACAGTCAAGAGAGGGGACGACGACATAGATCAGAGGTATTCGTTTATGACACCGTCGCGCGAGAGAGAGAAAGCATTAAAGCATGTATCGAAAACGGTATGTTCCACAGGGAACAGAATTGAAGGAATAAATGGCGAAGACGCCGCAACGGGTGAATGTTATACAGGCCCACAAAACGATCAGAAAGCACAGCGCGACATCCTCAGAACGAGACACTTGATTGGATTGCTTCATGAAAGGGGAATCTCAGATGAACTTTTCGCAAAAAGCCTGCCCAGGGAGTATATGGGAACCAATGCGCAAATGAAACAAATCCGATTGCTGTCGTACACATAAGGATAAGACCTGTGGAGGCCCATAAGACATAATAATCAATGTAAGATAGGGGTTGAGAGGCATTGGAATGGAACGAAACGCATACAACAGACTGGATGAGAGGGGAATTGGAGGGGGAGGTAAGAAGTAGAAACATCAAGATAAAATAGGATAAGATATGATAGAAATAGAAACAGAGCTCAAATGCTGCTAAAGGAAAAATAAAGCGCTCGCATATGAAGTACGTAGCACAGGAGAAAATGCTCATCCAGAGCTATAGAGGGTAACTTTCGCAGAAATAATAGCAGACTGGTTATGACACACAAAAGAGACCCATCGTGAAATGACGCAAAACTCCTGCTGTTTCTTTCAAACTAAAGAGGAACGCTCTTTTACTAGACATTGGAGTCAATAAACCCAGGTCCGAGTGCTGCCAGGGCCGCTCACTGGGGGGAACTGACCTTCATAGGAGCAAAGCCGCCGTACTGGTGTGCGGGGGGCATGCCCATCGAAGGGTACATGGGAGGCGGAGGGGGAGCAGGACGGTAGGGGCTGCCAGCAGGGCCAGAGTTGTTTTGGGAGCGACCCCAGCTCAAGCGAACACGGGAATTACCAATGGGGTAACCCTGCATCTGGTTGATGGCCATCTCGGCGGCGTGACGCTGAACGAATTGGACAAAGCCGCAACCCTTTCCAGGGGGAATCTTGACGTAGGTGATCTCGCCGAAGCCCTGGAAGAAAGAGCGGAGCTCATCCTCAGTGACATAGCCAGACAGACCACCGACGAAAACAGTGGTGTTGTTAGGGTCGGTGAACTGGTTCATGGGCTGGGGAGCGCCGTAGAAGCCCATAGGGGGAGCACCCATGGGAGGGTACATGCCCGGCCCGGCGGGCATACCCATGGCACCAGGAACAACGCCGGGTCCCTTGTTCTTGGGAGTAGCGGTGGAGATGCGCATGGGGCGGTTACCACAGTAAACACCCTGCATCTCGCTCAGGGCACGCTGCTGGTCGTTCTCGTCGGAGAAGCGGACGAAGCCATAACCACGGGACATGCCACTGATGGGATCGGTCATGATCTTAGCCGACTTGCAAGACGGGAAGCGGCTCTGGAAGAGAGAGACGAGCACGTATTCGTTGACCTCGGGGCCAAGGTCACCGACGAAGATAGAGTATTCGGGACCACGGTCATCACGGCTAGAGGCAAAGTTAACTCAGGCATGTTCATATCGTGTCGAAAAATTGAAGACCCTTACCTGCGATCAGCGAGACCACCACCGGTAGCCCAGTTGAGCTTGAACAGGCGGTTGGTGTTGGGCATGGGGGTGCCGTTGAGGGACAGAGCCTTGGCAGCAGCAGCGGGGGAGGCGAAATCAACGAAGCAGTATCCGGCGTTGCTCCTACTACCAACATTAGGATCGCCTTCAATTCAGAAGCATTTATGCATTACTCACCCAGAGAACTTGTCACGGATCATCTTAACGTTGACCTGCTCACCCATCTGGAACCACAAGTTGCGAACGAAGTTCTCATCGATCCAGGGCTCAAGTTCGCCCATCCTAAAGGACGATTCGGTAAGTTTTTCATGACATACCCTTTGCGGAGTTTGAATCGACATACCAGAGGGTAGTCTTGCCCTCATTAGCCTGCTGGGGGACAGGAGCGGCATTGGGCTCACCGGGAGCAGGTCCCTGGAAAGCAGCAGTGCTAGGATCAGCCTGGCCGGTCATGGTGGTGTCCGCGGTAGCAGGAGCACCGGGAGCGGCGGCAGCAGCATCAGCAGCAGGGTGCTGGTTTTGGAAAGATTCAAAGTTCTGGAAAGACATATTGACGTAAAAGTTCGACTTTCGTAACGATAATTGCGGCAACGGTATCTGCGCGGTGACAAGCTAATGTTAGTAAGCTGGAACCCCAATTCTCAAGCTCGAACAGTAGCACTGTCCGAGCGACTGCGAGATGAAGACATAGATCATCGTACCTTAAAGTGCAGGCGGAAGGAGAATGAACTCGAGCGAAATCAACTTTTCTATACCGAAAATGGCCCGTGCGACAAGGGGTTCGTTCAAGTCGTCAAGGAGTAAGACGTAGGATCGTTCAGGTTCGGAAAATGATTAAGACAAATCACTTCCTGAGAATATAAGGAGCTTTGGTTAGTGATGTGGGATGGACAATTGGCCAGAGCGACAGGATTTTCACAGCAACTCGGGGAATGATGAAAGGAGCAGTGTATCAACCAGGGAATACAAATCAAAAGGCAACAAAGACGATGCAAAAAGCAGAATAATGCAATTCAAAAGCGGAACATGGACAAGCCAGAAGCAAATGAAATCAGTAGAAAACGAGACGAAGGGACTGAGAGGGTCTTTGTTGAGGGCGAATCGATGGGGAGTTTTTTGGCTTCGAGCGGACCAAGCGAGAAAAGATGGAAGAGGATAAGGATAGGTAACAGGAAGGGATCAGCCCGACATGGAATTCGCTCCCTTCCTGCGCCAAGACTCAGGTTCCTCCGGGTGATGGCAGCAGAATAGCCGGAAATGTGAGATTTAGGGCGTTAATAGACAAGCACCGGAATGGCGAGTATGCTCAGGGTCATTGTGTGCAAATCGCTGGAGCTTTCAGCCCGTTCATAGCCGCATTCGTCGATGACATATCCCGAAATTCTGGTCCATCCGCGCCCGGTTGCGACCGTGTCAATTCGCCCATCCAATCCCCCCTTCACTGCGCTACTCAGAAACAGGAGAGAATCGAACCAAGCCGGTCAATGGCGACAATGGAGAAGTAGCGATCTTCAGCGTAGACAGAATTATTCGAGCGACCGTAGCGATGAGAAGCCGCGGGCGCGTGGTGCATCATCGGGAAGTCAACTCGGCAAAGGTTCTGCCTTCAGATTTGTGCCCCAGATGTCCGCGAGCAGGCTGCTGATTGATCGACAACCATGTTGAAGGCGCTTGATGTGATGTTGATCGTAGAGGGACGTTTGATAACCGGTATGGCCGAATTGTTCCCGCGCAAGCACCATCGATGGGCAGAAAATGAAAACGTGATGACTCAAGCCAAGAGAGGATAGAACAGGCAAAAAAACATAAAAAGCAAAAAAAAAAAAAAACCAAAGAAGACTTCGATATCATAAGATATACTCTACTTACCAGGCAATGTCAAAAATCGCAACGTATGTATTGGCTTAGAGACGAGAGATGCGTTGCTTTGGCGTGGCGCGAATATGCGTGAAGACAGGGACGTCACAGAGAAACCAGGAACTGGACAAGCGAGATAACTCCGGCGAGGTGGAGAGATAATAGGAAGCAAATCCAAAGAGAAATAGTTAAGAGAGGGAAAAGACACAGAACTATCCGCGAAACCGACTCCGTGTTTTCCGAAAAGCACACAAGGGAAGGGTGGAAGAACTCAAGAAGAGAACAGGGAGGACAAAAATGGGGTGGGGGGAGGGGAGGTGAGAAGAGAGGAAAGAGGAAAGAGGAAAGAGGAACGAAGAAAGAAGAGGGGTAGGAAGAAAAGATATTTCTTCAGAGGATCCGATGGAGGGGAGAGAAAGGAAAAGAAAGGGAAAGGAAACGAGGAAGAATGGGCAAGAGGCTACTACTTTGCTAGGGCAGACCAAGGACGGGAGAAGCAGAGAAACTCGTTAGACGAACAAACGAACTAATTAATTCTTTGGGGAAAATCAAACCTGGGTCCAAGAAAAGGGAAAAAAAAAATTCAAATAAAAATCAAAGTACTCCGTAGTAATAATAATAATATAATAATACCAACAAAAAATTCCAATTCAATGGATCCTAAATAGGACAAACGGCTAGAAGTTAAGAATGAATAATCATAGGTGCTGACTGCTTGAGGGCAAGGCGTACTCAACTCCAGGCTCTTATTTCATCAATTGCAGCAGCAGCAGCAGCACTGCTGCTGTTGTTGCAAGCAAACTACTCAGTGGGTAACAAGCAACAAGCAACAAGCACCAGCAGCCGCAGAAGGGAAGAAGTGAGGAGGGGCGCAGCAGTCTACAGTTCTGTCTGTACCTGCCAGCTGGGTGGGACGAAAGTTTGCCGACTACTACTGGAATAGTCGTGTTTCTACCAAAATTTTCTCCTCCATTTTGCTCTTCTTTGTTGGGTAGACAATCCTGGTTGAACCAACCCTATGACCGGCTCAGCAGCTGTGAGTGTGCATTGGGTGGGTGTAGATCTGGATTTCGACGTGCAGGTGGGATCGTGTGGCCTTACCGCAACCCAGGAGGATCTAGTGATAAGTCGTCTAGTATTGTAGGTACTGTACACCAAACTTACATACATCGGTACTCCGTACACAAGTCTCCGTAGTACAGTATTAACTTAGGTATCTTTATGCAATGACTGTTTCTTGTATGCCGGGTGTACAACCTTACAGGATGTATGATTTAGCTTGTTCCACCTCCAATCGTGCTTAGTTTGAGGCTCATCAATTTGCACAGTACAATACATGAGCACTATCGTGGATGTAATTTACCCTGCAGTCTTTATGAGTATTCGAGAACTGGAGCTTTCCTCATATCGAATTGTCCCTCGCTATGATCATTTCCATAGCAGCTTCTCAATCGAAGAAATTAAAACATCCTCCGTTTTGTCATGATGAAACCAGGCTGTCTTTGCGGGCCCTCGACTAGTGAGATCAAGGCTCTTGGATAGACCATACGTACCTGGACTATACATACGGGTATTGAGAGGTGGTGGTGGATACCTACGTCGACCATCGGACCCAGCCCAACCGAATCGCCCTCGAACCAGATGACTGCTGCATCCTGCGGGCTTGCAACTTGACATGATTCTTATTTCTATCGCACGCGACCCTATTGTCCCCCGTTCTCATGTCCCCCAGGTGGTAGGGAGAGTGTGCTGGATGATACAATCGCTTTCCTGTATATCATTGACAACTCAGGGCGGTCCATGGTCGCTAAGTGAAGTAGGAAACGAAATAACGATAGCTTGAAGGTGCCAATACCCGTTCTCTTGAGAGGATCCCCGATTGTGTAGAATGACCAGCAGTAGATGAGCCCGTCGAGTATTTAATGACGATTGGCACCTCTCACAGATAATGGTGGTGTTGCATCACGGACTTAGTCCTCCTCGAGCATCTGCTCACGATGTGTATGTAGCATGATCCTGGCGCAAGGAGAGAGAGAGAGAGAGAATAGGTGGGGAGCAGACGGTGGCTGGGTCCGATTTCCTTGATATGTGCATACTCATACGTACTGTACAAGACCGGGAGGACTTGGATAAGGAGTCAAGGGGCAGGCAAGCAGATAATTGACTGCACTTGCATAGTAATTCTTCTGGCAGAATATTAGAACAAGAGAGAGAGTACGGAGTACCAGAAGACATTACATGTAATGAGGGCAAATGGCCGAGCAAAGCTGTATGGAAATCTGCAAGGACCTGACTTGAATGATGCATACTCGGTGGATAACCCACCCAAGCTGAGACTGCCCGAGGTCTTTTGCTTCCTCCTTTCGTTTTGCTTGATTTATTTGGGATTTTTTTTCTTTTTGGGATTTTTTCTTTTCGGCAACGCGCTATGACTCGCCCGGTCCCATTCGCGTCCCATGGGCCCTTATCGTCATGGGTTTTATTTCATTCTCCGCTTGGCCTTGCGGATGCCTGAGGTACTCTGTCATTCGTAGATCGGTTTCCGCTTGCAGCCTAAATCCCACCATTTGTTCCTTGGGATCGGCCCTGAAGCTGTGCCCTAGACTAGTTCGCCGGAAGGCTGGATGAAGCCGACGGGGCTGGAAAAGATGCCCACTAATCATTGAAATAACTTACCTACACATATACAAAGGGAAACAGATGAACACATGGTATGGCTATCGTGATCATGTTGAAACAAAGAAGAACAGAAGAGACAAAAGTGGAAGCGAAAGCGCCCGGACTGCCCGGTGGGAGGGTGCAAATGAAAGGGCGAAAAAAACCCTCGCCCCCACCAGTGCGGCCCCAGTCCATGGATTCGAGAGCTGCTAATGCTCAATCCAGATGACGAAAACCCTCAGAGAGGTTAGTCACCACTGAAGCACATTCGAGAAGTACAAAAACCATGTGGTTGTGGATGGTTCCTGCGGCCTAACACGGGGGCGCTGGCTAGTAGAATAGACTCTGGAGTCTAGCACGCTGCCCACCGAGATACAAATAGTCTTGTCGAGATCCCAGTTGAGGGGATTAGCTACTCAGGCCAGTGCCTTACTGAATGAGCACGTCTGATTAGGTTTTAACTAAATGTTTGGTGGTAGGGTACTCCGTACATGTAATACAAACATTATCACTTGAAGAGGTATTAATATGAGTACTTAACTAACTAATAATAATTAGTGCAGAATCTGACTAAGTACCGCTGGAAAGACACAGGTCAGTCGAGGCCGTCAGTTGGTCCATGCAGCAGGATCGGGATATTCGATGATAAATGATACATACAAAGGATTAATCTAAATTGTACGGAGTACTTGAGCCACATGTGTGGTTCCAGAAAATGGCTCTGGTAGCTTCGAAGAGACCAGTATAGCTAGATATGAATCAATCAATAGTATGTACTCTGCTGAGCATATACTCATATGTACAACCTGGAGTACATTCTCATACTTGTTCACTACTCCAACTAGAATAATACTAAGCAAGTAAGTTAATTACCGTAGTCAAAATGAGGCAGACTCCACACCATCCAGTGCCCGGACCGTGGAAACTGCCTCCATGAGGCTCTCATTGGCCACTGCTGTATGTAATCAATCTAGTTCTAAGCCTGAAGCCTAGGAGTCCACGGCATACCTAGTAGAGTAGACTGCCTAGTAAGTTACCTAAAGTTACCGTAACCTGCCCTTGCACTGCGCCTAACACCCATCCAACACGAAGTGTCTCAAGATATCTAATTATCTGAGTATTTAGCTTCCGTGTGTTTCATCCACAAAAAGTATGTATACTCGTACCTCTTTTGACATCTAAAACCAAGACCGTAGCATGCGAATTGACTCTCCCTGTTTCGATTTACCGACGAACGGTGAGTATTCCTTTTCCTATCGGAATGCGGACGCGGACGCGACGCGATCACTCTATCACAGAGTGCGAGTTTCCTCTGGCACATCGGAGTACAACTTGCCCATGATCTAACGTTATCCTCCTCTCTATCTCCCTCCCATCCACACACTCTGGCATGAGCAAGGGTGCATCGTACTATGTTACTCTGCACAGTACAGTACTGTACTACATACATACAGGCCATGCACCCAACGCTCATCATAATAAGTACTTATCATTATACATAGTACTCGGTAATCAACGAGGAAGCGCAAGGCTGCTCTTATTGGTACGCTCACGCCCCTCATTCATATTGACCCGATCGAGGATTTGCCATGCGAGGATTGCAGCACAACTAAGCCCGAATCGAGTGGTGCGACTGTGCTCCGGTCCAAGCTGTGCGTGCTTCCCTCTGGAGGGGGGGGAGGGTTACACGATCATGCCTGGGTCAGCACTCGGTCCCTTGCAGATAACTTCCCTCCCTGGAGAGTTCAAAGTCAACCCAACCACTCCCATTACCCCGTCGGGAGATACTCGGATTTACTGACTACACCAATGCTCCAGGCTATGAGTAGACCAGATCTATCTAGTATAAAATATAGTGTTTCAAGTTGGACTGGACTTACTGCTATGCTTTCCGTAGCCGGATTTCCATTCACCAGACAGTGAGTGATCTTGAGAAAAGAAAATCGTTTCATTGTCTCGCAGCACGAACTCCTCTGTCCTCAATTCTCCATTGCAGTTCTCTGGAATGGGAATTGCAGGAACCATGGGTTGAAACCGATCTAAGAGGATTTCGTAATTCTCAATGCCAGTAGTTCAAGCAGTACCAGGGACCGGCAGGTCATGACCAGTAGACTACTAGGGTGCTGCTGATATGCAGCGCAGTCGGAACCCCCGACAGCCGACAAGGACAATCTATACGTGTCGTGTCAGGGTTAGAAAATCCGGGACGTGTTCGACACGACACGACAGGACACCTTCAGCAGATTCTAGCTCCAAGCTATTATCTGAGGCTGACCAGGCATGCGCCAAGGCCAAGTCTTCCTATTGTGCTGCTGCATTGAAGCAGCACAATCCAGACATAGCTAGCTGTTCACATCCCAATATCCGTCTGGTCAATCAAGTCAATCCGGGTATCATTCACAGCAGAAACACTAACGAGTAGATAAATGTCTTGAGGACCCTATGAAAAGCATCAAGTTCCAATCAATCTGCCTCCGCATCCAACAACCCATCGCATTGGCCGGCTTCCTCCCCAGCAGCCATATCAGTATCGCAGAACTCCCCAGGATCGGCCTGCCCCAACTCATCCCCAAGCAATTGGATCGTCTTCTCATACACCTTAGCCGTTTCCATCTCCCACCTACCGGGGATCGGATACTCATCCATCCCCAACGCATCATCCATCAACTCATCCTCGTCATCGTTCTCACTACTATCCCCAAACCCATTCCTCTCACCACCACCATCATCATCATCATCATCGCCAAGATCCTCCTGCTCCCTCGCCTCCACAACCACAACCCGACAGGTCTCCGCAATACTCTTGATACGCACCTTCTCCGTCATCGAGACTACGTTCGTCCGTGCCTCAAACCCCGGCAACAGCGCCCCGGAGTCCACATCCTCCCCCAGCAGGAGCGATGCAAAGACGGAGTCCAGCTTCCGCAGCAACCGGAACGTCGCCTTCGCCGAGAATGGATAATCCGGTAGATAAGAGTTGACCTGGACGGCCAACGAGATCAGGTAGGGTATCTGTAATGAAGCTGCCAAATAGAAAAGCACCAACACATGTCCATCAGCCAGCCAATATGAGACAACGACGTCTTTTCATTCACTGTTGTTTGCAACCCAGAAGAAAAAGAAAGAGAGCGGAAGGGGAAAACATACGAGTCCCACTGACCCACAAAACATCCACCAAACTCTCAAAGTCTTTCGCTACTTCCTTGAAGCTCTCGTAGCCCCTTTCCGACTCAGCCACCGGTGCTATGCGCTGGCTGTTGCTGCCATTGCTGTTGCTGTTGCTGCTGTTGTTGCTATCACCAATCAGAGCCCCGCTGAACTTCTTAGCATGCCGGCGGTTGATGGACAGAAGCTTCTTGTCGATATACTCGAGGACCGTGGCTTCTTTTGCGGAACCCGGCCGCAAAGGGTGGGCTCGTGGTTTGGGGAGAAGCGATGGGGTTGCGGTGGATGTGGTGGGTGTCGGGGATGGAAGATGTGCTGATGGTGGGATGAAGCCTCCCCCTCCTCCTCCCCCTCCTCCCATGTCGCCGGCGTCTTGTCCATGGGGCATGGCCGCTGGTGATAGTGCAGCCATGTAGACAATTCTTTTCTTGTTAGGTTCTTTGATTAAACTTAAGGAGGTGTCCTGGCTTCTTGCCGCGAGCTACTCGTACGAAGCAGAGAAGATCAGAAGTGGATGGTGGTTGTGCTCCGTACCGCCGAGCTATCTGCTAACTATCTTGCGTGACGTCGAACTACTCAATGCGGTATAGCGGGTTCTCGGTGGCTTGAACCCTGCGGCGACGTCTCAAGAACAAAGGAATTTTATCGAAGGGATTTAATGGGAGGCGATCCGCATTCACGAGGTGATGGTCGCACTTAAGCTATTAAGTAGTTTGTTAAGTACTAACTACTACGGAGTAATGGTAGCGGCTGTGGAGGTGGTGCCACCTACGGTAGCTTGACAGATAACGTTAGCTCTTTCAAGGCTCGGTTCTATTTGTCTTCTAAGTGCCTGAAAACAGCATATCTCAAAAGTACCCAGTGTTTCCTGGTGTGACTGCTTCCTGTCCTAAACCTGTTGCCTGTTCAGAAAATATCCCCTTGATTCTGCAGGAAACAACATTGATGCCTCTGACCATGCAAGTCCATAAATTGGAGACTTTTGGCAAGGCAGCTGGCGGTTATAATGGGTCTCGAGATTCCAACCACCGAAAGTCTACAGAATTCGCGACATAAGCCTGTTCGTATGGAAAAGTATAGATTGATCCAAGCGATCGCCGGTGCTGGTCCGAGTTTCGTTACGCTCTCTGTACCCCAGAAGTCAATTAGCACATGTTTCAGAAAAGACCCATGAATCTCCACAACGTCTAGTCCCATACTCTGGCTTCAGGAAGGTGAGAAGATTGAGTAATGCTGGTTTCTGAAGGCATGGCAGGACATCGAGCCGCTAGCTGAGTCTTGCTACTCTGGCCCCAGCGGATTCATCATATGCATACAAAGTACGGGAAAACAAATAGGTTAGATGTTGGGGCACAAAACACAAACGTAGCACTCACATCCTTGGAGATATTTACCTCTGCCTCAAAACACAGTATTCTATCGACCTGAAAGATTCGACTTTTGGCATAATCCCTTCCCTAACGCCGCGCTAAACCAAGACGATGTGTGGAATAATTGATTTGTTGAAAATCCCGGCCGAGAGACACAATCACTCGGGCTGCAGAGAAGGCACATGGAAATGCGTTAGTTAGCTTCTTGAAATCAAACGAGGGCCCCAGAAGAGCAAGCGCAAACCAAACTCACCGCGAATTTCCCCTTTCTCCTCTTCAGATCCGCCAGCTTCTTCTTATCTTCATCGAACTTCCGCAACAGCTCATGTTGCCTCTCCTTCCGCTTCTCTCGGGACTGGAAGCGGTAGAAGTCCTCCAGGCCCTCCTGCTTCTTCTTCTGCTTCTCGATCAACTCCCGCGCCTCATCCTCGTGGGTCGCGTCCGCCAGCTTGGGTCCACTCGTGACCGTCACGAAGCCATCCTCGTCCGGCTCCTGGGCCTTGCGCGCCGCCTCGCGCTTCCGGCTCTCGGCCACCTGCTCGAACACCGTCATGAAATCATTGACCGTGCGGAGCAGTTCTCCGCGGCTGGGGTACCGAGCCTGTGAGTGGAAGAGATACCGCTCCAGCCCGAGAGCCGGCACACGGTCCTCGTCAAGCCCTTCCCCCCAAACAATTTTCTTGCTGCCACTGACCGCCTTGCGCGCGGCCTTCCGAGCAGCCTTCAGACTGGCCTCCATGCTGGGCTGGTCCACAAAAACCACGACGGCGTGCGCTCCGCTTTTCTGGAGCGGCCGGTCCCAGACCGCGGGGAGTGCGATATCCTCCAGCTGAGACTCCAGCTCATCAGCGGTGACGCGCTTCCGTTTCTTGGCCTTGCTGCCGCCCCCGCCGACATTTGCCTGCGGAAGCGCGGCCTGATTCTTCTTCGTGGGGACGGATTCGAAGTGGACGCGCTCAACTCGGCCGGCCGCGAGCTGGGTACCGAAGAGGTGGCGCAAGTGAGTCTCGGTCGTGTCAATGGGCACATTGACGATGAACATCGAGCGAGGGGTATCTTCGTCCGGAATGCGAGGCTCGTGGGCTCGGAGATACATGTAATGCGTCGCAGCCTTTGCAGAGGAGGTCTTGGGGAACTGCAGGGGCAGCACGGCGTAACCCGCCACCTCAAGGTCTTTCTTCATCGTAGCAATCCGAGATCCTAACTTAAAACAACGACTGTTTGATGCAAAATATGCGAGCAGAAGCAGGAGATTGGGATGGCTGCGCAGCCAAAGAAGGCGAATTTCAATCGGGGTAACTTTTTTTTCTCGATTTGGGCGGGGAGATAATTTTGCACCGGCAGTTTGGAAGGCGGAGAGAGGGTAAGGGTAAGTTACCCCGACAAACAGAAACGTCCGAAAGGAAGAGAGCTCATGTCAATTGACAACTCAACACGAAATACGCACATATTCGTACAGTACATGTAAATATCATCTCGAAGGAAATGAAACTTGCCATGATGCAGAATTACAGCTATCGATAGTGATCAATCGCGATACATCCGACATAATGCGCCCTGTCATGTTATGCCCTGAGGATATACATATCCCATCCACTACACCTTGTCTGGATCATTGATTCCGCCGTTGGTAATCAGATAAGTTGCCTCACGCTCAGGACAATCTGAAAAGAATTAGACAGAGTTCATGTTCGATGAGAGTAACTTAGCAAACCCGGTGAATCTTGGATCTTGGCCACTCGCTCCTCGCCACGCCCCTTTCGAAGTAGCACTCGGGTTGTAGATGCATGCGCAAGGACATGCCCACCAACCGGCTTACGGCCATCGGCCCCGGCAAAAAGAGCGCTGGCGCCAGGGTCACTTTGAACCTGATTTGTCTGCGCCTCGATGAGAATGGGTCCGTGCATATAGTAAAGGGTTAGAAGAACGACAACAAACCATCAGGACGCAGACGTTGAATTCTGCACGTTCAGATATAGTTAGTCTTGCGACGTATCTCATGTAAGGGTTGCATATATGTAGCACTATACCTTCAGCCATATGGGCAAGTCTCATCAGGAATTGATTCAATTTCTGCTGACGCTCTGCAAGTTCCCCACGTCCACAGTAGTCGACGCGGAAGCAGTTCATGATGCTGTCAATTATCAGCAGCCGATACTCCCCGGAGGCAAACTCGCGACTCAGGGTATTCAATAGCTCTAGCTGATGCTCGCTGTTAAGAGCTCGAGCGTAAGCGATGTTCTCCTGCGTGGAGTCTGGGTCAACCCCAAAGCGTTCGGCGATCTGAGCAATGCGCTCGGGTCTGAAAGTGCCTTCTGTATCGATATATGCCACTTTGCCATCGGCCCCGCCCATTTCCTTTGGGAGCTGGGCAATCACGGACATGGTATGCGAGAGTTGGGTCTTGCCGCAGCGGAACTCACCATACACCTCGCTGATGCTCATGCTTTGAAAGCCCCTGCGAGGACCATGATGATTAGGATACTTCACTGGTGCATGTTGTAAGGTAACAGAACCTCACCCTCCTAAGATGGAGTCGAACTGTTTGCTCCCTGTTGAGATGCGTACAACCTTTTTGCGCTGGTGGCTCAGCTCCATCGCTGTCATGAAACCAGAGGCCGAGGGCTGATTCCGGGCTATGAGATTCATTCCTCGGAGGACATATCGGGGAAATCAAGCACCCACCAGGCATTTCTGAATAGCATCCTTGATCTTCTCGACCTTGACTTCACTGAAGCCGCGAATCTTTAGCAATGTTCTCCGCGTGGCGCTATGAACGGACTGCAGAGAAAGTCAACAGGTGAGCAGGTGGTCAAAAGAAGGAGCGGTTGGACACGATGGCATACTGCAACTGTGAAGTAACCATTCGCCTTGAGCTTGTTGATATCTGCAACTCCAATCCCTATTTGCTAATGAGCTAATTGAAGTAGGGAAAGAATGAGGAAAGCAGTCAAAGAGATGCCGAAGGAATACCGTGAGATTGGATTGAATCAATATCGACGATGAAGGCCTGTCATGGAAGAAAAGTAGTTCAGCTTTTGGCAGACAGGATTTCCAAAAGATCAAGCGAAATGAGAGGATGAGCAGGGGATCTACATCTTTATCGAACTCGTCACTTGTGTCAGAGCCTGGCATGATTCTTGTCTAGACTATATGCCGACGATGAATAGAGATTATGACGTCAGATCGTAGAAGGGGTTGTCGAAACCATGGAGTGGGTGGGAGGTAACAACAGTACTATATGTACATTGTAGTATCCAGCAGGCGCAGCAGCACAGACCTGGTACTGATCGAGCACCCACCACACAACGCAAACCAAACCCAAAATCAGAGTACGCCTATGAGAAAATTACTTTCAGTGGTGTTTCTTCGTTTTGTATTTTTGTTTCGCTTCCCAATCGACGTATATGAGAAGGATATAGTACGAAAAGATGAGTAGGTTGCCACAGCGCCAGGTAAGTCTTTTCACCACTCACACATCTTCAGCAAATACACACCCATACACAATAATTCCAGCCACCCCTTCTTATAGCCTGTTCCTATGCGGTCCACCATTTGTCTGTTCTGCGCTCGATCAACCCGTCGCCTCGCCTGGGCCTCGTCTCCTTCTTTTCTCGCCGCACCTGATTTGTGTAAATGAGAAAGATACCCGAGGTGATCAATAGACGCCACCCATGAGTCCCTGAGCAGTGTTTAGGACCCAAGCAGTAAGAAAAACCAAGACTTCGTGAAACTTTTGTTGTTCGTCGTATACATAACGGAGATTGAAATCAGTCGGTACCAAGAGTTGTAATGGTGGGAGGCCGCAATATGTGCAAAGGAAGAAACGTGGAATAAAAAAATCGGGACCAATGTCGGCTAGCCCTAATACAAAAAGAAAGAATGGGAATGGCTCCCAATGACTGGGAATGAACAATCGTAGAGGTTTATTGAGGCAAGGCAACAGCGGCGGGAGCTGGAGGCGCAACAGCGGCGGCCTCCTGGCTGGCCTCACCACCGGCGGCAGGGACAGGCGCGGCAGGGGCGGCAGTAGTCGCATCGATAGGCTTCGGGACATCACCGTTGGGGCAATCGCGAGAGATGTGGCCGGCCTGGGAGCAATTGTAGCAAACCTTGCCGGCAGAGCTCAAGGGGCCACCGTTGGGAGCAGTGCAGTCGCGAGAAATGTGGCCCTGAAAACCGTTAGTCAGGATGATTGGGAGGGATAGGAGGTTGGCGATTGGAAGCCATACCAGCTTGCCGCAGGCGTAGCACTTCATTGCCTGAGCCTGGCAATCACGAGCAAAGTGGTTGGGGCCACCGCACTTGTAGCAGGTGGCAGGACGAGAATATCCGCCACGGAAGCCAGGGTTGAAGGCACCCCGGGGGCCAGCAGGGGCCCGAGGAGCACCCGTAGCAGGAATGGGACATTTGCGCTAGGAAATGATCAATGAATTTACTCTTAGAACGATTGTGTTCGGGTGGACCGTCGACATACAGCGAGATGGCCGGCCTGGCCGCAGTTGTAGCAGCGGCCGGTGGCACCGTTAATGCGAAGCGAAGGGCAATCAGCCTGAACGTGGCCTACCCCCTGGCAGTTGTAGCACTGCTTGGCTAAAAGACCGTATATCAGAATCCTCATCGTAAAGAACGAGATATCTTGAGGCACTCTTACTCTCGGTGGTACGGGGAAGCGGGCAGCTGCTGGACTCATGTCCTGTGGGCGGGTTAGATATGTTCTGGGTGCGTATGTGACATGCATCGCAAGAGACGTACCGGGCTGCTTGCCTGTGATATGAGAGGGTGATTAGCGATTGAATACAGCGGCTTAAATTAGGTCATTAGATTCCACCCACAGTTGTAGCAGAGACGCTCAGACGAAGAGCAGACCTCTACACCAGTCAATTAGCGATTTTTGGCCTGGGCTACAGGCAGTTTTTTGAACCATCAACTAACCAGCAAAGTGGCCAAGGTTGCCACACTTGTAGCAGGCTCGGCGATACAACAACATTGCTGAAGAATGGAACGAGCCTATGTGTGATTATAGTCATCGCCGTCAGCGGTTCCGAATTCAATAAAGTGTGCTTGCAGTATTTGTTGAGCTGGGCGCCGGTGGTCGCATTGGAAAGATTTGGGCGCCATGCAACTTCCCCCTCTCCCCCCGAGGACTTGGGCAACAACAGTGGAAGTTATCAGAGCTCCGCCACATTGCTGCATATGACTCGCATGCAATTGTTCCTCTCAAGCGCATCGTGGAGAATTGAATGTAGGCAGATCGTGGACGGGAGCAAAAATCGGGGACAGCGGCGAAAGAAACTTGCAAGAATCGTCGCGCAATGCGGCCATCGGGAATGCAGCACGATGAGGGAGACGAAAGAGAACACTCACTCTTTCCTAGATTATGAGCAAAAGAAGACCAGTGAGACACCCTTCCAATCTTTGGCAGAAGGCCTGATAGAGTCGTTAGCTCGAGAAGCTTGGAGAAATCAACACTTTTGACGGCCTGCTCCTTGACAGAGTGGGCTGACATAAGACCGAGCAGGTGAAAAATTGTAACGGAACGGAAAATTGGAACAGTAACACTAACCGAGCATGAGATGCGCTGGATGAGATGATAGACTAGGAGACTAGGAAGAGATATGATGGATTCTAGTAATCTAGGTTTAACAATATACAAGCCTGAAAGCAGAGATATGAGTACAAGGTAGAAAATTGACGGAATTCCAGAGTACCATTCAAATGTCTAAGCCATTGAGTTAAGTAAGCAAAGAAACAGAACGAGACCGATTTTGTGATGTATGGTTACAAAGTTGTTACGAACAGTAATTTATATATCAGAAGACTGTAGGTTCCAGTGCCAGTCCCAGATCCAAGTTAGCTCCCGGGCTTTTCCGTAAGTTATCAGTGCAAGGTTTTGGCCGAAAGGTTGGATCCTCCCCGGATTAGCACCGGTGGAAGGGCCGAAGGGGGCAATGCCAGGTGCCGGCCCCGGGCCCCGGGCCTGTTGTCGGGTCCGTCAGAACAATTGTATCGTGCTGATGTATTGCGGGTGTATTCAGTACAGTATTGTCATTGTGTTTCCTTCATTCCGGCATTTGGTCAATTCTTGATCGATCCAGCATCTACCTTACTCCGTACAGCCAGATGGACTGGGCGACGCAGTGCCCTTAAGGCTCCCCAGAGGCTGAAGCTGTAAGGTCCCATTTCATGAGCTGGTATACTCGAGGTGGTGTATCTAGCCACTGGGACCCAAAGATAGAGCTATACAATCAAGGCTTGTGGGTGGCAAACCATGTCCCCAGCTGAGCAACGTTCCGTGGTTCTTTCCTGTATTATTGATCTGCCATGTGCATACAGCAGCACACTATCACACTTTGTAAACGGACAAGCATGCTCCTCAACTTCAATATCATCCCGAATTTTTGCCGCAGTTAAGCTGCAGTACCAATGCTTGAATATGTCCATACATGCACTTTAATCCATCCCAGCTGGTCGATGCTTATGATAGTTTGTGTGGGCGAGTTCACTCCTCCTTCTCAATGACCGCCGGGGCCTTGATCTCACGGCCTTTGAGGAATTCCAGCCCCTCACCGCCCTAATAACCAGGTGTCTTAGTCTCCATTGTGTCATGGCGCGGAATGCGGACCAGAGGGGGTATACTTACGTAGCTGATCAGTGGGGAGACTTCAACACCAACGGCTTCACCCTCAGTGACGACAACACCACCCGCCTTCTCAATCCAACGCTGTCCCTGGTTCATGATGTCCGCCTTGCTGGTGTCGGGGTCATCCTCGCCGGTGCCCCGAGCGTTCTTCAGTGGCGAGAATTCGTCCTCGCGGCGCACTTCGATGCATGCAAACTTCTCCAGTGGCGTCATGGGGAAGACGTCGAAGACAAATTGCTCGAGCTTGACGCCGTTGGGCTTTTCCGGCTTGAAGAACTCGCCAGTCTCGGTGTTGATGCAGGGAATCTTCTTGCGGGCCACGTGGTGAGGCAGCTTGTGGCTCCATGTCTCAATCGATTCAAAGAAACGGAACGAGTAGTAGTGGTTGACAATATTCGCCGCACGGAACTTGAGCACGTCGGGTTGCTTAGGGTCTTTGGCCTCGGCTGTCTCCTTATCGATCTCGGAGTACTCTACGACGTCGGGCTTGCCATTCTTCTGGAGAATCAAGCCCACGGACTCAGTAGCATTGCGCTTCCGGACTACCTTGGTAGCGATATCAACGTTCTTCGAGGCGGCGAAACCGATGAAAACGGGGTCAGCAACCTTGACGAGACAGTTATCGACACAGTATGTGTGAATGTGCTCGATTCCACGCTTGCGCATATCCTCTCTGACGCCGGAGGTGATAAGGGCCAGATAAATACCACCGTTGCCATCGGGAGCCACGGCTGCCTATATAAGAGTGGTCAGAACCCAAGATCCCTAGCGGTCGAAGACAATCCAACTCAACGTACCTTGGATTTGCTTTCCATCAGGATCTTGCCTTCGTTGGAGATACAAGGCAAGACGCCCTGCTCAAAAATGACCACATTGCTCTTGTCCAATCCGAAATAGTTGTGCTTGCGGAAGAATTCCTCTGTTGGTTTGCGAGTAGGACCACTGGTCATCACATACCATGGGATGGCAGCGTCCTTCCCAGTAACCTTCTTGGCCAAAAGCTGCAACTTGACGATGCGCTCCGCCTGAATCTGGAAGAGAGACTTGTGGCTCGGAAGGCCGATGTCGAAGCAGCCCTTAGGATCGGAGCTACCCAGGCGCGTTCCCTGCCCACCAGCCATCAGGACCACAGCCACCTTGTTGTCCGCAGTCAACTGAAGTCCTTCCTCATACCATCTCTGGATGTCGCTAGGGTCCGAATCCAGGATAGAGGCGGTAGCCACTTCAGGGAGGGGTTCCAGGGAGGCAGGACCTTTCTGGGCCTTTGGAGGGTTCAAGGCCTTGTCGGCCAACTCATTGATCCGGTTGGGGTCGAAATTGCTCAGTTGGTGAAAAAGCTGGGTCTTCTCCGCGGACTTCAAGTCGTCGACGAAGGCGAAAACGTGATCTTGTTTGGCATCGATGTACTTCTGTCTGAGCTGCTGGAATTCTTCGGGCGATGGCTCCCGAAGAGCGTTCTCGGGCTGGCTGTGGAAAAGGTTGGAGACGGTCTCCTTGATGGCGGCGGCAGCCATGATGAACAGCGATACTTCAAAAGGAAATCAAAGGGTATCAGAGGTAAGATAGACTGACGGGAGGAGGAGTAAAAAAGAGCGAAGAACTGGGGGAGAGCAAGAATGAAGGAAGAGGAAAAGGAGAAGAAGCTGTTATGAGCGCGGGGTGAACTGGGAAGAGGAGGGAATGGAGGGGGAGGGGGAGGGGAAGATCGGCTCTTAAGAAAAACCTACGTAACTAAGTACAACAACCAAACAAACAGACTGGAATGAAACCAGCAATAATTGTGACTTAGTTTTTATCATTATTGCTGTTATTAACTATTCTTATTTCTATTATTAGTACTACTTCGACTACGGAGGTACGTACCATGATTGATTGATTGATTGTTGCCTCCAAACCTGTCACTGACCGCCAGAAAGACCCCTGGTTTCAGGGGACCGATCATTCTTACTCAGTAGTACAGTACAATTAATTATTTTTAGACTCAACTATGGGTTGGAGTCTTGGAGAGTCAGGAAAACGGAAGATGCAAAGGCCTCAAACGGAGGGAGGAGGGGCCAAGCTGGACAACACAGCCAATCTGCGGTAGGAGGCGGGGCATACCATCGTATAATATTGCCTGGAGCCGGCCCCGTCTAACCTACGGTCTCACCTCCAAGGCTACTTACTTACGTACTTACTTCAAGGTTCACTAACTCGATAACCGCATCTATGTTCTTTAGGATGACCAATTCAGCCAGACGAGAGGTCATATGTGATTTGAACAAGCTTGCACGTCTCCATGATAGCTCCCGAGCCTGGCTGATTGGGCAAACACTCGGTGCTGTATAAAAGGACTTGATTACCAGAAAGGCTTGAAGGCAGAAGTGCCGGTAGTGTACAAGATTACTGTACATAGTAAGTTAGGTTGGTATACATCATTTCATAGCCATGAAGGTCTTTGTCTTATCTTTCCTTGATCGCTTGATCATCGGCGTCGGCGATCCCGATACCTATCATCGTCACGACGTTCATACCGCCGGTCGCCATACGAGTCTTTCCGTACTGGACTCCGGCTGTGCGATCGATCTCGGTAGCGACTACGGTAAGAGTCTCGCCGGGGACTTCGACTAGCTCGTCTATCACGGCGCTCGTTCCGCTGAGGACTTCGGCTGTATGACTTGTCTCGACGAGGAGCAGACGGGCGTCCAGACTCTTTCTTGTCGAAGACCATCGAATAGTCCTCCCGGCGACGTGCATTGTTGTTGTCAGCGGCTCGGTACTGGCGTTTCTTCTCAAGTCCAGCTACACCGCCAAATCCACCCCGCTGACCACTGCGCTTGGTAATGGTTGCGTTACGCCAGCTTTCCGATAGTTTTGATACCTAGTGCGTTGAGTGGTCAGCAGCGCCCGGCGAAAAGGTGCGAGGTAGTACTGCTTACACTTTGCGAGAAATCAACATGAATGCGGTGGTCGTCAATTAGAACACCCTGCATCTTGAAGTAGGCCTGTTCACAGTCCTTTTGATTCTCGAATTCGATAAATGCATATTGCAAGCTGTCGCCTGTTCGCTTGTCCCGAATTACTTCACACGAGAGAATTGGGCCGAAGCGACTGAAAATTAGGTTGAGGTCCTCATCTGGAATTGTGTATTAGTTTGGCTCGAGTTGAACAGCATAGGGCAGAGATTATTAAGAGAATATGGGATTGTACCTTGGGTGACTGGGTTCAGCTTGCAGACGAACAATACATTCTCTGGTGGCTTTACCTCGGCAAATGGAAGGTCGCCTACCATCTCTAGCGTCAATGCCTGCGCTCTGGCCTCACGCTCCCGTCGTAGCTTTTCCAATGCCTCTTCATCCATATTGTCGTCGAGATCCTCGTCATCTGCGATCCGCACCGTAGCCAATTGTGCCTTGGATGGCACCGGGCTCTCCGCTGGCTCCACCAGTCCCGGGGGGTCATTGAAAGGATCATCGAGAATCACCGTGTGACGAATTCTGATATCCTTGAGTGGCCGCCCGCGATCATCGATGAAGGCTTCGTTTACCTTCTCTAGAACGTCGAATCCTTCCACGACCTTGCCAAAGATTACTGCCTTGCCATCTAAGTAGTCGAGACCCTCACCAAGAGTTATGAGAAACTGGCTGCCGGCAATGCGTAGGTCCGGATCGTTGGGGGAAGGGACAGTCGCCATGCTCACGGTGCCTCGCTCGTCGTGTTTTAACTTAGGAGGGATTGGGAGCGAGAAGGTGCGCTGGGAGGGACCTCGCAACAAACCCCAGATCGAGGATCCGCCATCGCTCTCGGGGGAATCAGGTCCCAAGGGATCACCGGTTTGAAAGGTAAAGTTCTTTTGGACGCTGTGGACGGGCGAAAAATTGTAGTACTTGACTTTGCATAGCTTCAGGAAGCTACATCGGGAAACCATAGATAGCTTAGTTTTCGTTCAGCCACTCGACTTGTACGCGCGCAGGAGAGCATGACAAGAGTACCAATATGAAGGGATGACACAGAAAGAACAGGAAAGAGGACACATACTTCTCGCAAGCCTTTGGTGACTCGTCGACCAGCAGATCAATGACGATGTCGCCGAGAGAGGTTTCCAGCAGGACGCTCATGGCGGATCCCCGGTAGTTGCGGGTGATTTCGCGAGGATCGACGGTGCGTAAGACAAAAACAGAAAAAGAGGGTGAAAAAGAGCCAAAATCAAAGGTGAAAAAAATGCAAGTGATCCGAATGAAGAGAAGAACCAGGTAGGCCTGGGAGGGGGAGGGGGGGAGGTCGAATTGAAAGCTGCCAAAAGGACGAGCGGGAATTACTTGTAAGAGGGAGGATGATTTGAAGCAAGCTGGAGCCAGGCAAGGTACGAAGTTAAGATGCGGAGCCGCTACTAGTACGCTGCCGCCCAGCCTATTCCTACTTGAGTCGAGCGTCGGCGGCCCACCGTCGTAGATCGCTGTTCGACTATCTACTGTACATACTCATACATGTACGCTTCTGATGGATTGTGTAGTCAATCAACTGTTGGAGTGGTGGAGTACTATCTACAGCTAAGTTACTGTATAGTACTGCTGCTTCTTGATCTTTCTTATTCTGATCCTAAATTATTTCAAACTGCTTATGTTGCTGCTGCTGCTGCCGCCGCCGCCGCTGCAGCCATCACTACCACCACTACCACCACTATTCCATATGATTTCTATCGATCTATCATCAGACTGTTTGAGGCCTTGATTGATTTAAACCAATTTGTTCTAGATCAACAACCATCACCCTCGGAGAAGGAACTGCCTGCCTGTTTCCAGCAGTCACAAAAAGTTCTTCACATCCTTTCCTGATTTTACCAACCGCACTACTACAAGTCACTCGATTGACAGCGATTCGATGCCCAGCGGTCATACAAGCCCCGAAAGAAGCATTCGCCGCCGAATCAATCATCTTCGACAGTTTCGAGGTGTTCTTGCTTATCGGATGGTTGTTCCGGCGCCCCTCTCGTGTAACCGCCATTACTTTGGAACTGGAGCCGGATATCTTCCGGGAAACCCCGTTGGACGAACAACTTTGGGGTAAGAGGTAGTGCTTGCGCTAGGCCTGGATCGAGATTCAGCTGGCAACTGTGTGTTGTTTCATTTCCTGCCGGCGATCTGGTCGCTCGAACCTGTCGGCAACTTATCCTTTGCTCAGCTCATTCGAGTACAGTACGAGTATTGTTCCCGGCGCCGATGTGCCGCCGGTCTCATCCAACTCCCAGGACATAGTCTGTCTGCCCTGGGGCCTTGGAAATGACTTCAGCTTGAAGCTCCCTACCTACCTTAAAACCCAGAGATACCGTCGGAACCCCATGGTGAAAGCCTTCCCACACTTATTTGGTTCTACTCTTTGTGAGTTTCACTACAGGGGCGTTGAAAATAACGGGCGGTCTCCTGCAGCTAGGTCCAACAGCAGTTCAATAATCCACCCCATCAGCACTTTTGCAGATATGACAGCAAAGCTAATTCAATGGGGAAACACACGTGGTGCTCACTAGACATGGATGGTATCTCTCTATCTCTAGAATGATCATCATATTGACGATCCCCCGTAATGCCTGGAACTATCGAGATCCCAGCATGGATTCAATGAGTTTCACTGGGTCTTGGTATCTTGTGGCTGGTCCTATTGCCAATGACAGCTTTCTGGTCCAACCACTGACTAATAATGGCCCTCAATTGAACGGAAGACACTTGGGTCATGAACGCCCTTCCTTAATATTTGGGACGTTTAGAAGGCCAATATGGTCTCCTCCCTCTTTCGACCGCTGCTTCTTATTTATTTTTTTCCTCGTCTCCTTTCTCCCGTGCCTCCCATTGTCGCCGCGTCCCATCTTACGGGCGGAAACCGCAGGGAACCCATAGTCGACTCATCTCGAGCTTCATCTGACAATTCAATTGATCGACTTCCTATGTCCGATCTCGATCGTGGTTGAAAAGGGACGACACAAGTACCTTAGCTCAACCACCTCCTTTCCACATATTGCCTGCACCAAAGCTACCGCAATGGCTGCGAATGAATTGGTTTTGATCTGGACCAATCGTTGTGTGAAAGTCCTGCAGGTTTGAGCACAAGCAGATGTCGACAAGGCCATGTCAGTCAGTGACAATGTGCACCGGGCTCGTGCCCCTGACCTTCCTGCATACTTAGTCGATCTTTTTTTGCCCCACAGTCCAGGTCAACCCTCGTCGAGTTGCGAGAGTTGGTCACCTTCATCTTATTCGTTCTCAGACTATATTCTTTTTTCTCCCTCCATTTTTTAAAGGCTTTCTTGATCACTTACGGCCAGATTTTGTTATTCTGGTTCACTCAACGCTTTCCCAGCCCTCTAACGAGAGAAAACCAGGGAGTCTTAAGCCTTGCACGATACGTAGACCCAGATCCAGACCTAGGCTGGCGATCTTTGCTTGACTCTACTAATGCTAGTCAACCACTCCATATTACCATGCCAGGATTCCGCTCACCTATTCGGGCTTGGCGGTTGAGCCACATTGGCGCGTTGCTGGAACACAGTCGATCTTCGGACTCAGTCTTTGCTCTGAACTCTCGTCCTAAGGCATAGCAGCCAAGCTTTCCGAGACATCGGTGTAATATCCGCAGATTCATGAGGTACATTTGCGTCGTGCTCTGGATCAGTTGAGTTCTTCTTTTGTTCTTCTTGGCCCCGGGATTCTATCTCTCTCTGCCGAAGCTACTCGTGGACCTAGTCGCTGCCGATCTGACCTAAGCTGAGATAAGTTAACTATATGATGTCAAAAGTACCAGTCAAGACTAGACCGCCAAGAGGAGTTTGTTTGATGCTTGAAAATAGCAGGCGTCAGACCAATGAGCTTTGCATATCAACCATTGTTCAAGCAGAGAGCAAACATCCACACGTTCGTTGCTTCCTTCCGCCTTCCGGTCAATACTGGTAGCTTGGTATTCGCGCTGGAGGCGCTCATGCAAACGTAGGCGGTGGCTGTCCGCTCATCGAGGCTGTCCTGGCCGGTCGCTTCTGACGCAGGGCCCTATCGCTGGCTACAAAATATCATCATTCAAAGACCTGGACCAGTGGTGGAAGCAGCACATGTGGAGTTCACGTTGGCATCTATTTGCTGAGATCGACCCTGGAGATCTCAGTCTGCCCAGCTTGGAGTGGTAGGCTTGACTGTGGTTTTCTATCAGGCCATTTCTACAACTGGTGCAACGTTACTCTGACTTTGTGACACTGAGGTCCCTACAATGCCGGGATATTTTGTCTCTCTGTTCTTCTATCATTGTGTTATGGAGACCAGACCTGAATCTCTGGACACATCACTACTGTTTTCTTTTTGTTCTTGGTTTTTCCCTCTTTCTTTTTATGGTTCTTTCCCCCCCTTTTTAATCCTTTGCCTGAATGAGATGCAGCACGGTTGTTTGCATGGTGCTCTCATTTGTACGCCAGCAGTCAAAGAAACAGGTATCAAACTGAACACCCTCTTTCGAATGAGGAAGTGACCTAATTCCCTTTCTAGTTCTAGGGGCTTCGGTAGGGAAAGACTTTGTTCTCTCTGAAAACTGCCTGCCCGCAGTCGATTTTCTTTTCTCTCGAAATGATGAAATAAAACATCAGGGATAATAAAAACGAAAGAAAGGAAAAAAAAAAAAAAAGAAAAAAGAAAAAAAAACAGGTGAAGGTCCAGGCTCTCATTCAGAATCCATACACACCACTAACACATGGACATAAAACTGGCCTTGCTTCCGGCTACAGCCCTCTCACCCTTCCTGGTTCCTTTTTCAATACTCAGGGGATGGACCGGATGTCTTGATTGCAACAATCCCTGATCTATAGACCTTTTTATGCTGCTTGGTAACCCTCTGAGAGGCTTTTTCCCTTCCGTAAACTTGTCTCGAATACATGTGAGTCTCGGATTCGGGAAACATCATGTTTTCGCCCACGCTGACGGATGAAGTAATGGCTCACTCTATATACTCCCCGGAGGAGGAGGTTGTTGGCTTTGATTCACAATCTAAGCGAGATGCTCTACCGATACCCACGCGCACCAGTCGAGGCGATAGCTACCAGGACATGGTGGATAGAGCTGGGTGTCAGAGTCCCAGTCCCGAGATCGACAGCAAGAGTCGAAACTCGACACGCCGCCGCATTCAGGTAGCGGTAAGTTTGGCTTCCCTTGTTCTTCCTCTTCTTGTCTCAGCCTCCTCCAACACTGTCGAAGGAAAGGTCATGACTTACGAGTTGTCAGTGTAATCGTTGCCGAAAAAGAAAAATCAAATGCAGCGGCGACAACGGTGATGGGCAGGGCTGCTCCAACTGTCGCAGCTCTGGAAATGCCAATTGTCAATTCTTGAGGGTGAGTCCAGAGAGCGTTTACACTTTAGGGAGCAATAGTCAGAGCTTACTCTCAACGCAGGTCAATTCTTCGATGGTGCAGGCGAGAGTGAGCTGGCCATATCCAGTGATGAATGCTACGATGTCCCCTTCTCACCGACATGGGCCGTATGTGCAGTCAATGCCCCCAAAGACGATGGCTACTACGTCAGGGAACCCTTCGACTATGCGCGTGAACCCTTACGCCCGGGCACCCGGCTATGGCTGTGGGTCAGCTGAGTCGCAGCTGCCCGTTGGTCGACAGTCGTTTGGGTGCGTTGACCACGCCGCTCACTACGAGGAGGAACCCGGGATGTACAGCCCTCAAACTTCGGGGTACATGGTCTCTGGGGTACCGCAGACCGTCATGGCGGAGTATTGTGGGCTCACATTGAGTCCCAAAGCGTGGAATCCTAACGTGTACTTTGGCCGGAGCCCTAGCCCAGGCATGTTCGCCGAACACGAGGGCGGGAGTTCCTTGTCTCAACCTCTATATCCCTACATGTTCTCGGGACCTCCAAGTCAAATCACCGATGGCCCCCCGATTGTGCCAACCATGAGCTCTACCTCCGTCGAGGGACAAGGGGTGGATCGGACGCTTCCTGATCCCACGAGTCGAAGTCAGGCTCCACAGTGTCCTGCTGGATTTACACTGACGCCCGAAGTTCTTACGCTCCCCGAGACCGTAGATCATCGAGCCGGGGTAAGTTGGAATTACAAAAGCGCCACCGCCTCTAACAATAATGCTCTTTCCTCAATTCAACGGTTTCCGAACGAAGCCCTAGGCGGCAGTCCCATCTCTCGGACGAGCACGAGTGCGCAAGACATGGTCTTTGGAAGTCCTTTTCTCACGACCATGGGTGCACCTTCTATTCTGACCTCCTCTGCCGGGCTACTTGCTGGCTTGGAGACGGCCACTACGAGCGAAGATTTTCGG